TTCGATCGTTAATGCCCTATCGAATGTGTGCGCTGGGAATGTGTGTTTCCGAGGGAATGGCATTATATTCCTCTTTATACGTAATTCGTTTGCGATAATCGACGAAGTGACGCGAATTATTAAAAATAAATTATTAAAAATAATTATTAAAAATAAATATTCGAATAAATAAAATGTCAGATGTAAACTTTTATAGAATTTCTTGATGTATCAATGTTTTATCATTTTTCCTTCAAATATACTTTGAAAAATATTTCATCGATACGCGGGATTTAAAAAAGATTCTAGTTACATTGAGAGACTATAAAAGTAAACGAAGAACAGAAGGTATTTATTGATCATTGTAATATATATTACAGTGTTCGCCTCAATCCTTTTGAGTGAAGGAAAGCAGCGACCGCGGAGAATCGCGAACGACGTCACAGAAATTGCGGAACAACGTCATACGAATGTACTTTCAACGCTGATATCTTTGTTGGATGGAGGAAGCGAGAAATGACGTAGCGGAATTTGCCGAAAATCAAAGCTATGTCTTTCGAAATAACTCATTCCTCAAAGGTTTATGCAAACATTTATTTTTAAACATTGTTTTAAAAGTTGTTTGTACGAATTGTATTGTTAATTATCTACAAAGTAACGCCTGCGAATAGATTTGTTTCGATTCTGTCAAATTGACTGACGTTTTATATATTACTGCCTTATGTGTATCAAAAACAAGCATATCTTAAGTGCATTACGAAGCCTCTCCAAGGTTTAATACTCTCGAGATGAGGAAATATGCATAGTCATTTGAAAAGAAGAAACAATTTGCCAAGTCACGCTATCAACGTTAACGTAGTATGACAGAAACACAAAAGAAAGAAGAAGGAAGGTGCACACGATTTCGCATGATTGTGTGTTATGAAAAATGGAAACACGAGAGAGAGAGAGAGAGAGAAAGAATCTTCAATCAGAATGGAAGATTGATTCAGTTGTAAAAATATGATAATGCAACAAATTTAGCCTGATTAATATAGGGTTTACGTTGTAATAGAACCCTGAAAAGATGTAATTTCTTCACGAAAATAAATTTCATTATTAATAGCAAGACTTGATAAATAGATTTTTCGATAAATAGAAATTTCGTTTCAGTGGAAATCATTCAAATCCAAATTTGATACATTCCTTGGAAAGATATTCATTTGACAATCGATTCAGTGCACACTTCCATTCAGACTGTGTAATTATCCGTATATTTGTATTAATAGATTAACCTGAAAGATGTAATTTCTTCACGAAAATAAATTTCATTATTAATAGCAAGACTTGATAAATAGATTCTTTCGATAAATCAGAAATATTTCGATTTCCAGTGGAAATCATTTCCAAAATCCAAATTTGATTATTAATACAACTTGATAATAGATTTTCATTTCGTTTCATAATCATTCAAATCCAAATTTGATACATTCCTTGGAAAGATATTCATTTGACAATCCGACCTTCGAGTCGCACACTTTCCCATTTCAGACTGTGTAAAGTCTATCCGTGATATATCCTGTTACTCCTAATAGATCTAACCCTGGAAGGATGTAATTTCTTCACGAAAATAAATTTCATTATTAATAGCAAGACTTGATAAATAGATTTTTCAAATTTCGTTTCAGTGGAAATCATTCAAATCCAAATTTGATACATTCCTTGGAAAGATATTCATTTGACAATCCGACCTTCGAGTCGCACACTTTCCCATTCCAGACTGTGTAAAGTCTATCCGTGATATATCCTGTTACTCCTCCATCCTTCTGCGAATATCTCGATATTCTCTCACTCTCATCATCTTCTTTTATAACTCTCGTCTACTATCATAGACCGCTTCAATCTTAACCTAGTCGCAGCAGGCAGACGTCAGATGGAGAACGTTTATCTGCCATCTATCTCTCCGATGCTGCCGCAACTCGGGAGAACACAACATACATCTCAGGCAAAACTGCATACATTGAGAAATCCCAAAAGAGCGTAGATTTGACGGACAGCGTGTATTTTATTCCATTCTCCTTCTCCCCCACGTTATACGCCCCGTTTGTAGCCTCCGCCACCTTCTCTTCCTCCGCGTACTCCTCTATCACGCACCCTCCCTACCAAACTTAGATCAATATGTTGCGTCATGTACCCCCCTGCACGTCGCCCAACGTCTCACCGTCCACCCAGCCACCCACTCCTCCGACACCCCCGCGCTTCGGTCCTCCCTCGCTTCCTCCCCCGTGCCTCCCTCCATGTGAACCAGTGCCGCGAGTGACGTCACGCAGGGACGCGCCCCATTCATAGGCTCCCACGCAGAGTCCAGGCCGCAACGACGGAAAAAAGGAACAGAGCGGAAAGAAAGAAACCGTGCGATCGCTCGCGAACTTAATGGATCCAGTTGCGTACACGCGGTCGCTCCGATATCGATTTCGAGCAAAGACATCGAACAACCATAATTTCCTTGTTTCTTTTCTTTTTTTTTCGCGTTGGAACGCGATTAAATGGCCGATTGTGCGCGGAAAAGAGTCCTCTCTCGCTCACTCGGAACGAGGGAAGGTATTCCCTCCCTCCCCTCCCCCGCGTTGTTTCGCGGATCGATGATGTCGTAACCACGACTCACTCGCTCACGATGACGTTTGTCACTGTACTCGCGTGCGGCCATGACGGAAGCGTGCGTGCGTGCGTGCGTGCGTAGCGTGCGCGCACGTGTGCACGTAATCCCCGATGGGGAAGGGGGTAGGAGGGTTTACTACAGAACTTCACCTCGCACCTGCTGTTTATGCTCGACATTTCCGTGGACGACTGCCATTAAATTTCACGCGCGCACACCCCGCGTCATTGATCAGCCCTCGGATTATTTTCAACAATCTGGAGTTTTTCTGTCTCCGCGAAGGGGATGAAGGGATGAAAACGCGGGGAAATGTTGGCGAGGGATAAAGATCGTTTATAAATATATATACCCGCGAGAGTATTTTTCGGCGACATATTTTGACGACGAACGCGCCAATGAGTAATTTACGCATTTGTGCGTCCAGAAATAGCTCATCTGAATTTCCCTTCAATAATTATTTGGATATTGAATCTTTATAATTTATCTGTCGCAAAACTGGGTCATTAAATAAAACCGGGAGATACGATAATCGATAGCATCAAAGTTACGGGCTAAAAATAATGAGAGAAAAGTCTAATATTATATTTCTTCTATTTTATCCGCGCGAGAGAAATCTTTATAGTCCTCCAAGTCGCGACTTCAATTTCTGCGCGCATCTATAAATGCTTATGGGACACCATCGACGTAGTTAAGCGCCTCGCGGATTCTTGTACTAGGTAATCGATAAAAAAGAAAGAAGGATCTCTCGTATGTTATTTCGACATTATTTAACACGAAGAACGTGCCAGAAAGGGGCACGATTCGAGTTTGATAAATCGATCTACCGAATATAGAATGTGTAACCCCGCGCGATGCAGGAGAATAAGAATAATATTTGCGAAGGGGGATAATCGCGAGCGGGACAGAACGGTGCAAATTCGACGAGCGTTAGTTCCCGCTTGCGAAAATCCCCGCGGATCTCGGCCCGGATAATAACAAAGTTTTAAAAGCACACTATATATCCGTGCCACCGATATTCGTCGCGCACGATCACGAGCTGAGCTCTATCCACCGGACGTTAATCCTTCATCTTCGTCGATGAAAATCCGGCCGAAATTGCGCGAGTAAGAGGAGAAAATTCCGCGCCGATGTAAACGAGGAGAAGGAGGGGGAAAAGGAAAGGGGAAAAAAAAAAAGACCGTATCCAAGTGTGGCGACGGCTATTTAGTGACGGCATCACGCCCACCGGCGTACATATAGATTAGCGATAAGGGTTAATTGGTATACCGGCACGGAGGTGGCGACGAGACGCCTATATGGGTCAATTTATATTTCAACGTATTTCGACATTACGCGCACCCCGGTTATCAAACTTACGATGCGACTTAATCGCTTCCAGGAAGCTGACATTTGCAAAAGCGCCCCGCCCGCATCCTTACCCCATCCCTATCCCGCCCCCGACGACGTTTCCGCTCTCTTCTCCCCGCGTCTTTTGATAACGCTATCGGCGCTAAATTTATCCGTGTCAAATCGCGGCGCATCGCCTACGTCATTCCCCCCCCGTACATCGTCCCCCGCATAATGAGGTAATCACGAATTCTGACTAACCGGATGACTCGTGTTCGCGAAGAGAAGGAGAAAGTGAAAAAAAATTCCATTGAAATATGACGGCGTGAAACGATGATAAGGTCAATTTATGAATCAGCGGGACATTTAATATTCCGAATGCAAAAGGTGAGTGTGTAATTTGTATGTTTAATTGACCGGGATTTCCAATCGCGTAAAAAGAAAACTTGCACATCTAATTAATCGCGAAAATTATGTGAACTTTATGATAATTCATATGTCGAATTTCTTGCTTATTGCACAATTTTATAAAATGATAATTTTATAAAATTGATAAAATTGAGGCAAAGTTTTACACGTACTTTTTTCACCGCTATATTTTACATTCACATTTTTTATTTCACGAAAAGTTCGCTCTAAGAGCAGTGCGGGCCTAATAAGTTTATTTTCCACACTTTCAGTGTTGTTCCGAATAACTATCATTCCTTTCTTTACTTATTTTATTCGTTATTTTGTTAAAATAATTTATATATCAATTGTGAGAGAGAAAGAGAATCGAAAGCGTATTATTTTATGTCAAATGCATCTATCGATATCAACTTGATTATCGATATATTAGAGACGTATTCTTCGAATATCTTTCTTTCTATTATAATTGTCTACGTGTGATCTTTTTACGTCAAGGCCTTTGAAAGGTTTCCTCTACATATATGCCGAGTCTAGTGTCGAACGTAATACGAAAAAAGAAAGACGTCAGGACAGACGCTTGTAACCGAATCAATCAATCTGACCTCATGACATCGACTTTTCTGACCATTTATTTGCATGCTTTTGCTCTTACCTTGCTTGACCGTAAAGTGACCTTTCCGCCGCAGCGTGCGCAGCACCGGATTTCGCAGTAGTTGCAGATGTGGCCGACGCCATCGGCAAACTTGGTTTTCAAGCATATGTGACACGTGGCGTTTAGCTCCACACCTGCCTTTTTGTGTTTCTCCGAACGCATCCGTATTGTTTCTTCGAGGACCTGCACCTCATCTTGCTTTCGCCTGCGCAAAAAAACGTAAAAAAATTATTAAGGAGGAGCGAAATAGAAGACTGAATATTGAACATATCGTTTCATCTCGTATTTTTATTTGCACATGTTAATATTTCTAGATTCGAATAATAGTCTGTTGTTAAAAATCTAGAACTAAAACAATTTTTATATATTTTTATAACGGAAAAGAAATTTTTTATATATTTTTTATAATTAAAGAAATTTCTTTCACAGAATCTCTCGGTAGCCAAACATTTTTCAAGTCATTTCTAAAACCTTTTCTTCTGAAAGGAATCAATTAACCATACATAATCAATGCACATATGTATTAAATAATATAAAATTAACAATGATGCGCGCGTCATACGTGATATCTGGCGAAATTCCTGTCAGCAGAGGCGAGAAAATCACCAGTCGTTTCTGATATGGAAACTATATCCGTGAGAATAGTAGCCAGATTTGTCAATCCTAACTTCACCATTTGCAGACTCCCAGCATTCTACCAAATCACCTGAGATAACGGCTCGCGCGTTCTTCTCCTCTCTCGTAGATTTATTTCTGTTCCGTAAATCGCGCCTTGAAAGCGTCCGGGCGACGGGCGGTCGAACAATCTCACCCTGAATGCACAACGTGACGACGTCGACGTCGCTCTTGTCGCTCGTCTTCGTCGTTCCTGCTCTGCGACTATTCGCATCCATTAAGCCAATTTAGGACCGTGTGTCCTGTACGCGCAAAATTAAGCCAGCACGATTCTGTTAAAGTGCGTCGTCGAGTATCATTTATCAGAAGAATTTTGTCGCGTCAACGTTATTTAATCAATTTCGATTAAATAAATTTCTCTATTTGTGTCTTAATTAAAATTTAAAAGAAAAACATCATATTGACTTAAGATCGATTTATCTCGAAATATTTTATTATTCGTAGCAACATTTGATGCAAAATAACCGATAATATTACATATAACACTTTTGATTAACTGAATTTCCTTCCTTTGTATATCGTGGTTATAATAATAATCTACAGAAGAACATTGAATCATTGAACTGGAATTATTAAATCTGTGTCTTTCGGTCTATATCTGAAGAGATAGAGAGACAGACTGGCTGTCGATAATATTTGTTTACCAACTATGACTTTGTCCGACGTGACGCGCGATACATTGAGTTGGAGAGAGAAAAACAACGCAATTTATACAAGTTCTCCTTGAAAATAATTTACAAGTCTGTTGAGAAATGTAACGCAAAGCTAAATTTCAGGCCACATTTATTTCGTAGCCATCCGACCGTAATCGCATCTTTCGTTTTTTACGTCCCTCCGGTCGGCTAATTACGCGAAGAGCACTGGCGAAAAATGCAAGTGAAATTAATGAAGCTTGCGCAGAGATAAAATAAACATCGCCTGCACACAATAGACCACAATGTGAGTATATTTTAAATATATCGCGATCCGCAATCGGATAAATAGCCAGCCGTGTCAAAAGGATCCGTTCCATATCTTTCTATTTGTTTGCGCATTCATTCCGCTTTCAAAAAGGGAGAAAGAGAGGGCTTCTCTAATTATCAGCTTTCGTTTATGATGTAAAAGGACGTTAAAATCACCGCATCTCTTTATATCTCTTTATATCTCTTTAAAGTAACCTAATTCGTATATATATAGAGCGTTTCTTAATAAGTGCAAAAAATTTTAGGACATGAATCTTTATCTCATGATGATTTTTTTTCTCAAATTTCGAACAAGTTAAAGAAATGAAATTAGATGGATATTTTCTATTAGTAAATAGATTATTTATTAAGATTTTTCCAGTCTCCTGTATTGTTTTATAAGGGGATGAACTAGCAATCCCTACTCAATTTTTTACTAGAACTTTTTAATGAGCCGAAATATGATCATCTAAAAATATGCATTAAAAAATTTGATTTATTTAGAAACTTTTTTGTTTGTTTTATTTTTTTCATAAAATTAATAGTTTTCAAGAAAAAAATACATTATTGTGCATAGCACAATGCTAAATAGCATAGGTTTCGAATTATGAGAAGTTAAATTTTAAAATAAAAATGAAATTAGAATAAATATTGGGAAAATTGAAACAAAAACAAAATTATAATAAAAACCTAAAAAATAAAAACCTAATTTTTTCCCCCATTTTTGGAAAAGTGTAACTCCACAGGGAGGGATGTAGGAGTATATGTTTATATGAAAAACTACCCTCCTTAATTTTCGACAAAGAATCATCTCCTAAATCTCCTTTTTCGCACTTATTAAGAAACACCCTCTATACACGTATATAAATATATGTACGAATATATTTTTTTCGCTGGATAAAAAAAAAAGAAATTAATACACGCCAGTCGATATAATTAAAGGAAGCCGCTTGTCGATGCGACAAATATTTAAACGACGTATACACGCGTGATTTACTAGGGAACCTCCGTTAAAAAGACGTTCGTGCGGCAAATAAGTTATAACCGCTAGCCTGGAAGGAGAAAAATGCGAGCGCACTTGGCACGCTGCGGCAGTTTTTACGGTTTGGATCTTGGATCGCGTACGCGACAACGAAGGCCGAGCTTCGACCGGGGGTTGTTGGCACCGCGACGTGCCGGCACCATCTCATGTTTCGATAATAAAAGCATATATATATATATATATATATATATATATATATATCGCGAGCATACGAAGAAACCGACCAAGCCCTTTTGCGCTGTACCCGAAGCGAGATTTTGGAATCGCTAACGATAAATTCCAGATGAATTCCCCCCCGGAAAAATTTATCAGGTTCGTTCATAAATTATTTTATGCGCATCTATCGATTTGTTGTTTTCTTTTCGTCTTTTTTCGCAAATAATGTAAACTTGGAGATTTTTAATTAGACTTTTTTTATTTTATATCAGAATGATTAGGACATTTTTTTATTTTACATTAGAATGATTAAGAGATTTTCTTGCCCTAACAATCCGGCCAGATATAACTGTGATCTGAAATTAGATCGAGCTTTCGATTTTAATTAATGTAAGGCTATTACGTTGTATGCGCTAAATATCTCTCCTTACCCTTGACCGTTTGTCAAATAAAGGAAACGGTCGCGCTACGCATCCTGACACCGTAACCTAAATCCCGAGTTAGTCGATAGAACAAAAGCTGGCGCGTCGTGTTACAACTCTCGGGGTGCACCGCGCGCACATCCGTCTATATTTCTCTAATTACTTTATCGATAATCGAGTGACTCGCGCACGCAACGGTGATCACACTCGACAAAGAGTCGCTCAAGACTTTCCCACTTTTGCGTTATGAGCGATCGTGCAAAAGGTCGCGACACGCAAGAATTGTTCTTCCATCGATATGAGAAAAGGGCTAAAAAGAGGAGGAAAAATATAGCGATAAAGTATCAAAGATATAAATCCCACTTTCATGGCTTTCTTATACTTGTAATATATCCTGCGTTTCAATTTATTGCTATCTTATATCGAGATAATTTTAATATAATGCAATTGATCTCACTCTAATTATTCTATAAATCAACAACACAAAATTAAAAAGATATAATTATTTGATTATTTTATTAATTATTCATGTATTTTTACTTGAATTGTAAAATAATATTTTTCTATTATTAATTATAATTGATTTTCTCAAATTTCTAGTTGGGAATTTTTATTATGAAGTATTTTATATGAAAAAAGAGGAACAAATATACGAATAAAGTATCAAAGATATATATAAGTTCCACTTTCATAACTTATATTTCTAATGTATTCTGCGTTTCATTGTCAGTCTATTGCTACATTATATCGAGATAATTTCAACATAATGCAATTGACCTAATTATTCTATGTATCAACATCAACAGAAAATGAAAAAGATATAATTATCTATTTATTTTTACTTGGATTGTAAAATGTAAATTTCCTTTATCATTAATTACAATTAATTTTTCTGAGCACAAATTTCTGCATTATTCCAAGTCGAGAATCTTTATCATAAAACATTTTATTGTGCGTGTAATATATACTTATTCTCGGAGATTTTTCATAGTTATATTGTTACATTTTATCTTATATAAAAATGCTAATATAACATTTATGCGATGGTACCACCTTACAATATAAACGACGTGCGCACGAATAGTATTAAGCTATCGGGAAGGAAACGGTAACGCGAGATGTGACGTCCTAGAACGTCTCGTGCAAATATTACGCGCGCCTAAGTCTACATAAAATACTACAAAGACGAGAAGGAGACGTTAATGCGCGATGGTGACTGAGCGATGTGGCGAACGGCTTCCGACTCGCCGAAATGTCGCTCTTTTATGGGAGCGGTTTACGCGAGAAACGGCATATACCGGCTTCTAAACCAAGGGGATTATGCATTTCTAGGATCGTTCATTTATCTTCCGCTCGTTTCATTTGCCCGCGTCCCTCGGGAGGATACGTCCGCGAGAGGAATCTCCGAAATCGGGGATACATCGCGGGGATGATATATACGGGGGAAGAACGACGCGGTATACTCGGTTTAACTTTCAACTTGCGTTGACGCAGAACGGTCCTACGTATTATTATAGCGTCGTCGTATATTCCGCGGTATTTCCGCACTCCTCCTCCTCCTCCTCCCCCCTCCCCCTCTCGCCCTCCCCCCTTCCTCCCCCGTCCCTCACCGGCTCTTCAAAGACGCGCTACCTATCCTCCTCCGGAGGACGCGTATATATTTCAGCCCTCAAGAATTTACCCCGTGCCAATCCAGACGCTTTCACACCCCGTCCGTTACGGCTCCGCATACCCTATGCGCCGTAGCTGCAGCTCGTTACTAAGCCACATCAAGGCTCGTCGCCTTGCATTTTACATGCGTCCCTACACGTACCTGTCGTCTACGTTACACGATCTCGCATCGGTATGGCGCAGCACGCCTTCCTCATTACTCTTACCCTTCTTTCTCACGTTCCCGTTTTTCCCCAGGCCAACGACGACCTATCAATAAAACCTGCGCAACGCTCGCCTCCCTCCCCTCCCTCCTGTTTTTAGTTATTGTTAGACGCCACGAGCGAGAGGGGGGGATGGAGATGGAGATAAAGAAAGAGACGGAAAACACACAGTGTGTCGCGTAATTACGCACGCCAGTCAATCATCGCCTCCCTGATAAATGCGATCGGCGCGATCGGTTGCTTTATTTTTATCATCGCGAGACCGATCAATTCACGTCGACACTGAGTTGATCGCCTAAAAGGTGTGGATGTGAAAAGATGTAAAAGATGTAAGAAGCTCCTTCTGCGAAGGCGGAACGCGCAAGGGTGAAAATATTTGTGGAGTCAATTATAAGCGACTTTTATTTCTGATCGCTTGATACAAAAGAGATGAGAGCCGACGCGATAAACGGGAGCATGTACGGGGCCATGGATACATAAATGGAAGATGTAGGTGTAAAGCGGTCAAGGACTAATGAGCAGGTGAGCCGGGAAAATAGGTGAAACGAGCCGGAGCAGGCTCACTGGTCAAGAAATATCCTTTATCCGATCGATCGATTGTTGTTTCGTCCGTCTGGTCAATTGTGGTTATCGGTAACAACCGACTAAACGACGTCTCTTATTTTCGCGCCGTTGGCTGTATTAATATCCCTTTTATATATCTCTAGACCCTTCGATGACTTCTAAACTTTACCAAAGTTTCACCTCAACAGTTATCACTAATAGCAATCGCGCTAAAATAAATGTCATTGACGATAATTAAAGTTATGAGTCTCGTCTAACATTATTCCGAATACTAGGAATAGATAAGAATGTCTATTATTTAATTTTAACGTCATCTAAAGTCTCATTAATAATTCAAATTATAATAAAATTGAAAAAATAATTTATATTTTTGTGCGAGTTCAATAATGGCGGAAATATCTTTCCACATCTGCTTAAATATTTTATTATACATATATGAATACATATTTATATAGAAAAAAATAATAGATGTATAAAAAATTTTAGTGTATCAAAAAGATTTATAAAATTTTTATTTAATCGAATAAAATATCAAATTTATAGATTTATAAAATTTTTAATCTAATAAAATATCAACATTTATAGATTTATAAAATTTTTAATCTAATAAAATATCAACATTTTCTTTGTGATTTTTATTTGACACTGTGCAACTTCACGATTTTTTTATCACGTCACGTTAAATGGCACAAAAACGGTCGCAATTATCGAAAGCGCGACAAACAATATCGACCACACGCATCACGATGCTTGAATATTATTACAGGCGTTTGACCAGCCTGGCAATATCCGGTGTAATAGAGAGTCCTAAATACCCGTGTGAAAGCCCGCGTTCTGGTTGTAAAACAATACCTTCATCGATAGTTTCGAATTCATGTCGCAAGCTATATGAGCGGCAAAAATAGTACACGTTCATGCTCTTTTTAAGACTCCATTATATTATACATATCCACATATATTTTGTGATTATTATTGAGAAAAGTTGTGATAAAACTTGTAGTATAAGAAATTTCTAGTGTTAAAATTCCTACCTGTTTATTATATAATAAATTTTTCAATCGTTATTTTCGTATTTTACTAGATGATACATATAAAGGAATGATAATATATAATTGTTGGCATATATTATTACTTAGATAAACAATATAATTGAATTAATCATTCGTAATATGATTATTAATTAATTAATTATTAATTAATTATCATACTGATTATATGCACATAATGTTCTCTCTAATAAAATATATATATATCGATTTTTTCGATTTATTGTACAATATTGTATAATATATTGTATAATATATGTTGTACGATAAAACAATATTATGTATAAAATATATTTCCTTTTTATATATACATCATATAAAATGATTTCATCAATTATTTTGTAAAGAAAAAAATGTATTCGAAATCTTCTTAGATTCGAAACAATATTTTATGAGAAAAAAAATGATGTTTTGCGATAAAAAAATAATTATTAATTAATTTAAAAATAATTATTAATTAATTACTAATTCTTTTGCGTATCTTTCCTTGCTTACGAAATTGAAAAAAATGATGAAAAAGATGGAGTTTATATACATATATCGAGTATCTATGATGAAGATTTTATTTGCATCACCTTTTTTTGATATTTGAACTTTTGAAAAATGTGCAATATTGCAAAATCATAATAAATATAAAATTGACTCTAGCTCCGCTTAATTTCTTAATAAAGAAAAGACACGGGATTCGGGGAAGATTTTCGAGAGGCAAGCACCGGGAGACAGTAGGACATACCTCATAATCTCGTGATCCTGTTCCTCTTCCTCCTTTTGGCGCATTAAAACACCCTCTATGATGCGCCTCTCCTCGGGGGTGAGGTGCGACATGTCAGGCTGAGGTAGCTCCGCCATCACGATGGCGGGGTACGCGCGTGCACGGGGTATGCGACGTGGGTATGACGCGGGTGTGTGACAGGCCGGCGCACCACCGACGACGCCGACGTCGACGGGACGTTGCCGACGTAATACCGACGGGGCCTACGCTCCCTCCGCGCTTCTCCTCTACGACGAGCGTCGTCGACGACCGGGACGATATACAACCCTCTACGACTACTACGAAGCGCGGCTTTCGTCCTGGGGAAGTCATCCGACACCCGTTGACCGCACCACCGCACCGCGACGCGGAAACGCGAACGCACCGGAGTTACGCTGTCGTCGTCGTCGTCGTCGTCGTCGTCGCGATTGCACCACCGTCGTCGTCGAACGTTGCACTCGCGGCTCGCGCCAATCGCGACGCGACACCACCTCCGTCGTGGTGGTCGATGACTTCGGGATGGCCTCCTCTGTGCTACGGGATAACGATAGGAGGTGGACGTCCTTAGACTCGGTCGCTCGGCTGATCCGGCGCGACGTCTGGCGCGACACGGGCCTTCTTCCCTGCCGCTGATGCTGATGCTGCGGGACACTGCAGTAGGGCAGTAGGAGCAGTCGGGCTGGTCTCATGCGAGCGCGCAACGTGCTCGTGGCATGGCCGCGGGTGTCGTGCTCCTCCTCCTCCTCGTCGTCGTCGTCGTCCTCGTCGTCGGCCTCGTCGTCGTCGTCGTCGTCGTCGTCGGTGTCTCTCGTCGTACGATTACCGCCCGTCGCATGTGTATGACAAATCATGTTCACAGGCTGTGAGGAGGCTCTCGCATTCTCTCTTGCGGCCCGGCCTCACGCGCTGCGCTGCCCGAATGCACCATCGGACGATACGCTGTTCCTTGCGAGCGTACGACACGCGACCGGGAGGGTCGTCTTCGGCTATGGTCGAGCTCGGCTGGAGAAGCGGATCCTCCTCGGAGGTTCTCTGGTCGCTTCGACGAGGAGGGTCGAGAAAGGTCGAGGGTCGATCTCCGAGGGAGCTTCGCGAAGACGACAGTTGGGTGCGATCCGATGACGAACGCGAGCTCGCACCCTCGGAGCGATCGGGTACGATGACGCCGCTTTCCTCGGGCTCCGATCACCGGATAATGGCTACGTCCCTGATTCTCTGGGAAATTCTGTAAAACCGCATCGATTGAAAACGAAAACGGGTCACTGGGTTGCCGCCGCTAAAGATAAATAGGACTCTCGTGGCGGTAGCGCTGCGGTTGTGTCACCTCGACGTCCTCCTCTGTCGGATTCTTTCCGTTATCTTCCCGATAACACCGCAACGAGACGATGCGCCATCCCAACTGTCAGAGCCGCGGAGGGGTGCCTCTGCTCTCGCTCCTGTTAATCCGTCTCGTTAACCGGATCCCGTCGCGTTCGCGAGAGGCATGCTCGACGACCGACGATGGAGCGCGTTCGCGCACAACCTGGCCACTGGGATCTGGAGGCCTTCCTCTCCGAAAAGGTCCGCTCGCGCGATTCACGTGGCAGACGACACGACAATGGCGCTCCTCGGCGCGCCTCTAACGGCCGTCGCGACGCCCACGCAGTCGATCGTCCCCGAACAGTTACACACCCACGACAACCGTTTCCCCAGCTGACGACGGAGGGGGTTCACCGCTGCTCGCTCCAAGGGACTCGCCGTCTCTTTTATCGCGACCGAGGTGTCGTCGCGCTCATCACCATCCTCGTCGACTTTGTCCCGATTGTCGACACGAACGCGAGAACGCCCTGGTTGTTGCGAGGGTTAAACACCCATTTCGGGCGGGTTTACGACGTTCTCCCTCCCTCTCTCTCTCTCTCTCTCTCTTTCTCTCTCTCTCTCTCTCTCTCTCTCTCTCTCTCTCTCTCTCTCTCTCTCTCTCTTTCCTTCTCGCCTCAATTCGCTCGTATCCCCCTCGATGCTCCGCGTCGAGTCGTCCGAAAACTTTGCGCGAAACGGCCAACGCTCGTCTCGCACTCGACGAGGGTGAGGGAGCGCCAGAGGGTGCCTGGCTGAGTGCGCACTGCGCGGCGCCTCGCGTCGCGACGCCGCGTTGCGTCGCGTCGCGTCGGCTCCGAGTATCCGACGTCGCGTCGCGCGTGGCCCTTCCGGTGCCCCTTTCCGTCGACGACCGATGCGACGATTCACGATGGCACGGCTCGCGCGAGCGAGCTTATCTCTCTCTCTCTCTCCCTCTCACCCCTCGCGATTAGATTGACAGCGCGGCCACGTCGACCTCCCTCCGTCTCTTTCCCCCTCGGGACAGAAGGTTATCCCGCCATCCCCCTCTCTCTCCAACTTCCCCTCCCCCCCTCCTGTCTCGCTCTTTCTCTCTCAAGGTACCTGGCTATCCGTGTCTCTCCCTCTTTCCCTCCGCGCTTCGCGGACGCTCGTTACCTGCTGACGTCTCGCGGCCCTCTCCCGTCTTGCGGCGACGAACGGGGCGAACGAGGCTAATTTCCGGTCGCGAATCGACGTCCTGTCGGTGATGCTCACGTCGACATCGAGGCGCGAACCCGCATTCCTCGCGAGCGATTCTTCCGAGTCGCGACGTATATATCCCTCGCTCAGAGACCTCTGTCGAGGGGGTGGTCTTATCGCGCCCGCGTGGAACCGCAGTTGCGCGAACCGAGCCGCTTTCCCCCCTCCCCCCGCCGCCCCCGCTTCCTCTTCCCGTGTACGAGGTGGCTCGGAACTCGCGCGCGCACTTTCTATTAAAAGTCGCGTCAAGAATAATGATTGTTTCGGGATCGAGAGGCGTCGCTGGGATTCTTACATCGATACTTTTCAAATTTCGAGACCTTTTCAAGACCCCTCTCGAGATCTCGGTTGATATATAATTGTATGCGAGAGCATAAACATTAAAAATTTCACCTGCTATTCTACTTTAAAACAGACTTGTTTCCACAAAGCATTTATTTATAACTTTTCCAATCAGATAATTGATGTAATTAAAAGGTTTGAAAATTTATTAAATTAAATGACTCTCGTTGATATTTTTATAAATAAAAACTGAAAAATTCTCCCAAGGAATCTAAAATATAGGAAGAGTATTTATAGTATTTACCCTATATGTGTACGAACTTTGGTTTCACGTAGACGATTAATGCCGACGAGGGAAGATGGGAATCATCGAAAGTGGAGGGACGCTGTCGTAAAGAGCCGGGGATTTGATCGGGTCTCATGCAATAGTAATAACACGGTTACGCGTACGTGTCGATCACGATCTCGTGTTCGCGACAAACGGGACGCCTGACAAATATCGCACCTTCGCGCGAGCTTAATAAATAATCGGATTGCGGCGTACGTCCTGGCCAATCGGCGAACGGGATGGGACTTACGTCGCGGAAAGTATCGTATTGATCGACGGACGGACCAATCTGGCGTGAACTTGAAGAGGATCGCAATCGCACGGCGCTTTATTTGAAACAGATCCCGCCATAAGAGCCGTAAGAGATCGCTCTTTAACGTTTCCGGAAAAGAATCGACGAGATATTTCACTAATCTTTCATATTAGAAATCGTTAAAAAAAATATTTCTCGATAATTCTCTATTTTGTGCATATATCGTAGTCATCGTAAAGTTTATTTCGAGAGCATAAAGTAAAATTTGCAACGCCAGAAACATTGATTTTTCTATTTTTTCCTGAACTGCGCAATCACTCGTCAATATTATCTCATATATAATCTGAAAGACTCGCCGGAAAAAACTCGTGTTGCAAATTTTTCTAAAGACGCACAGGAATTTCAAGATTTTCCAATCATGTATCAAATGTTTATGAAAACAACGTGCACCGTGAAACTCAAAATATATAAACGTAATAAATATATAAACGCAATATATAATTATATTAGAGTCATTTGCATAATTCTACGTGAAATATTCAATAAATCACCGCACTGTGCTCTTCAAGATTGTAGAAACTTCTGATCGGTGCGCGCCATTTCTTCGACATTGCTAAAGTTTTGTATGGTCGGATACGTCACGTGTGACGCGCTCATGTTCGCATATAATAGTCACCCAGATTTCGAAAACTTCTCTTTTCTTTATCGATAAAACAAACTGAAACACAAAAATATCGAAGAAGCAACGGTGACATAATAATGATGCGCATATTTCTTTCTCTCTAAAATTATATAAAAATTAATAAACTTCAAAATTTCATTAAAATGATTTAGATAAGTAATCTATATTGCATATCTATCTGTATTATCTAAAAAATATGTAAGAAATTGATTCCTTCTAATGCTATTGCATAATCACAGTTATAAATTTACAGCGTACTTTGTTACAATCGTGACGCATGAATATAATGTAAATTAATGTCGGAGTCATTGTTGATCAATATATAAATAACTTTGGTCGCTCGATATAAGTTTGCGATACCGCATTTGATCGTGTATAACGGCATATTACTACTGCGTGTCTGACTATTCACACGTGTAGCTACTGTTGACATTTACTACTGCTTGTCATACATATGTTATATTATATAATGTGGTTGCTTACTACTTACAGAATGAAATGGAAGACGACAAAGAATATGAAATATGTTTGTATGACGGTGTAGAATTTTATCTCGTCTTTGACAATTTTATATATTATCTTATATTTTATATTATTTTTTTCCTTTTAATTTATATATTTTTTTAATAATTAATTTGCATATCAAATGGCATATTTCTTCCTGTGTTTCATTTGTGAAATGTCTCAGCAGTTTAGAACGATAAGCAATCGATAAAGAAATTTAATTTAAAAACAAATAATAGAACATAATCTGTTTACATTCATTATAGTACCAATGTAATCCTGATATAAATTATTTTAAATTCTAACAAAGAAAGCATCCTTATTTCTAAACTGAATAAAAGAATCAAGGAATCTAGAATCAGACACAATCTATATCTACTTTTATTACAAAATATTTCAAAATTAAAACATTTAGTTTGCATGCCAAATAAAATAACACAACATGTAGAGCATTTATAGTTTTTGCATTAATAATTACTATACATAAAATTTTTTACATCAAGAATACATGGTAATTACATTAGACAAATGTTCTTGCACATTCATAATATTATACAATATAATAAATATTCAAAAATAATATTACACAAGGTATAACCGATAATATCTCTAAAATTTTAAAAACAGTAAACACTTTTTTTATATATAATATTGATCAAATTATTTTATAAATAAAAAAATATTTTAAATATGTTCAGATTGCAGTAGATAATTTTTCGAAAATTTACTTTTTTAACAATGTATTAAAAAATTATTATTAATTAATGTAAATTTGTTTATACATATATACATAAATTATAAAAATTTGGCATATATCAGTATATATCAGTAATATCAATTTATATATCAGTAATATTATATATAAAACATATAATAGACATATAATAGATTATAACATATCACGAATATTCAAAAATATAAATACAGACATACGAACAAATAGAAATAGAATATACAAATCTACACAAAAACGATTTTAAAAAAATTTCCCATTTCTTGTCTCGTTCTTTTATGGTGCGAAAAGAGATGAGTGCTTGCCGCAAAAATATTATTTTCAACTTTATTAATGCTAGAGAAATATGATTTTCAAAAAGTAAAAAAGAAACACAGGAAATTTTTTTAGATTTTAAAACTTTGACATTTGATCATTATATATGTACTCTGTGCAATATTTTTTATTAAAAATATTTCGTCATTAATCCTATATAATTAAGAGATGAAATCAATATATCCTTTATATAAATGCATTCTACATATACAAATTCTATACATTTAACATTGATCAAATTTTGCTTTTATCTAAGAATGCGCGGCTTACAAAAGTATTTTTAAAAATAAATTTAATTACATTTAAATAAAAATTAAATTAATCCTTATAATTATCTTTTTTAAAAAATTATTATATAGAAAATTTATTTTTATATTAAATGTGTGTAAATTTAAATAGAGCTTTGCTTTCATATTTTCAAGTATACAATTTCATTTATCAATATTCTTAAAAGTATTGTGTAATATTTAAAATGCTACAATTAAAAATTTATGAAAATAATAATAAATAAAATGACAAATAAAATATAATATTACACAATATATATACTATTATCATATTATATAGGCAAATATATGTTTTTATATCAATTGTAAAATAGAAAATTATAAAAATTTGTAAAGTATTTATACATAATGAAATATAGAGATTCATAAATTGTTCCAATGATTCTTATGTATCTACTATTTAGTTAGATGATTATAATATGTGTGTGTATAAATTTCAAATTTTTATGTTCTTAACTATTTTTGCTTGTGTTATTAAAAAATTATATTGTGTTCCTAATTTTATTTTAAATATAATTATTTTGATTTTAATACACTCTTTCCCTTTACTACGTACAATTTGTTTATAATATATATATATATACACACACAATATATATATGTGTGTGTGTGTGTGTGTATATAATGTACTTACATGCTACTAATCTCGGCAGTATTAATTTAATTATATACTATATTATAAAATATAGTATAATGAAACTATATTTATAGAATATAGTATATATTAATATACTATAATCATATTATATAGTATATTAATTTATAAAATTTTCTGTCCTTTTGGAACGCTAAATGTTTCAAATTATAACAATAATTGACATTTAAAAAAGAAAAAGAAGATATAAAATAAGAAAAATGAAAGAATTATTTATAATTCATATATTATATATATATATATATATATATATATATATATATATAACTCATATAAATAATGCCGCCTATTTTATATCATCTTTTCTCTAATATTATTTATAAAATTATCTTGATCGTTTATGATTATTATTAAACATCTTGCAAAAATAAAAAAATGAACATGATTCAATTACATAAGGACAGTTCTGCACTAATCACTTATAAGACTTATACATTCAATATTTGTTTAAAAGTCTTAATTATTTATACAATTTACCTATTCATTGCTATTTTCTTAATAAAATTCCCATTATATAACTAAACTCTCCATTATGTCTCCAACTTGTTATATACATTTTGTAAAATGTTTCGTATAATATTTTAGAACTGCATAAAATTGTGTGTGTATCAAAAGCTTATTCTACAATACATACACAAAAGTCTATACAGGCGTGTTGTCTCTTCATATAAATTTGAAACATTTTTGCTTGTCATGTGGTATTCGTGTCTTAAATAGTATGGAATCCGCTCGATATTGTGTATTCAATAGAGGCATGTATCCAAAAACCTACGATTATCATCGATTTAAGATTATATTGAATAATGTATATTATATTGTCTCAATTTGCTTACAATGAATAATTAAACATTTTTTATTTACCTGCGAGAAGAAATTAATACATTTATGTCTCTCTTGAAAATGTGTATCATCTTCCGAAAGTGAAACTGGACAACCTGGACATCTGAATGTCCAACGTGATGTTACCTAATACACAGATATTATATGTGTTACAAAATGATATATTAATTTATTTAAATGTATGTAAATTTATCATGTTTAATCACAATATACAAATAAAAACAGGAAGCAAGAATTGCAATATTTGTATAAAATCTAAATCAAAAGATTTAAAATATGATTTAAAATATTAGAAAGAGAAAATAATGTAACATTAAATAATTCTCTTTAATATTACTAAAGATATCTTACTTTAACTGGTGGTTTTCTCGTAAGATGGGATATTAAGAAATTCATAGCTATGTCTTCACAATTCATATATTCGTCGACTTTATCTCTTATTGATTGTGGTAACCAATATGTATATAGATATGTATAATGTTTGTGGATGAAAGCAGCTCCGGTTAAAACCATGGATAACTCACAAGAATAATTAGAATTATAATTCCAAGCATTATGATAATTCTGGTCCCATGCATGAAAGCGACCAGGAAATCCAACTATGCGATCTCGATGTTCCCTCCATACTCTGTAAATATCATATGTAATAGATATTAAAGATTATTTATATTGATTGATAAGGCTGTGTGTAAAATCAACTTACCTGAAACCGAACATAATCTCATCATGCCTCAAGTGAGCGTCATCATCAATAGAAAGGACGGCTTCTGTCTCAATTGCGTCAAATGGAAGGAACCTATTATTCAAACTGTTTCTTGGAGCTTTTATTACCTGTTTAATCATATTTAAAAAATATTTTTATGCAATTTTTAGAGAGATACGTTTTACAGAATAATATATTACGCTTATATGTATATTACATTTATTGGAACGCCGATATCAGGCCATTTCAGATCTTCCGCGGGTGGTTTCGGACTATTCCATACTATTAGTACTTTGTTCAAATAAGGTAAACCATACAGACGCGCTAGAGAATTTATAAGAACTTGTTCTCTTTCATATGTCAATATCACAATTGTGAACTGTTCTCTTGGATAATTTCCTCCTAATGATTCGCTAAATTCTTTTCCGGCACCTCCAGCACCTTTGCCAATGGGCCGGAAGCCAACTTCTGAGCCTATGAAAATATGAGAAATACAATATACAATTAAATTAAATTTATATAAAATTTAAAAATAATAATCTTACCAAGAAATTTAGCATCACTAGGAAGAATGGTATCAAATGGTAATTGTGGATACAAATTAAATGGATCCATCCAATCATTCCAAATTTCATGACCCTGAACCAATAATGTTGTATAGTTTCTCTTAAAAGCAGGAGATGGATAAGGTGGTTCTAAGGGGCCTAAGCTTTCTTCAGCTTCAGGTTCAGCAATGATGGTATCTGACTTTAAAGGCTTTTAAAATAAAATAACATGAATTATATATACATATACATATATATATATATATATATATAAAATTTTGTCACATAAAATATACATACCACAAAACTTTCGTTAAAAACACTGGGACTGGGTGTTTGAGGCGCCGGTAACGGAGGTATACCAAGTCTATCTCTGACTACTGCTATGGTAGTATCCACTACACTTTGAGCGGTACTCATATAACGTTCCCATGTTAATCTACCTTGTCTTCGCATAGTTAGGAGATCATTGTCAGGAACAGCACGCAATAAGAAATGCATTTCAGTTACTCTAGCCTAAAATTATATTTTGTTATATATTATATATTTTATATATATATATATATATATATATATATATTATATATATATATATATATATTATGTATATATATATATATTATGTATAACTTTGGTTCAGTATCATCAAAATAAAATTTGGCAATGCTATAATGAAAATTACCTTAGGTAAAAAGATAACAGCTCTTCTCCATGTTATAACTTCATTATAATTAAGCAAGATCTGATCACCGCCGAGAATAACTGGTATTGACCCGGCTCGTAATGCTTCGTACAATCTTGCTTGCATAGATGAAGTAGTCAACAATGTGGCATTACTAGGAGCTAAAATCAATGCAAATGTCGATTCCTTTAGTATGGCTCTTCTGGACGAATCAGTTCCACAGAGCGACCAATCAAGAGTTTCCATAGGTTTGCTTTCCACAGAGGCTGGTATACATTCAAATTGAATATAAAACTTATCCAAAGTTATTCCATTACTCATATCTTTCAAATGTTGAATTATGAATGAGTCTATATTATTATCATCGACGACTAATTTTTCTAAATCTATATCCGAGTCGTCGATTTGATGTGTCATTGGAGTGCCTTTAAAAGTTCTCATTTCTCCCTGAAAAGACAACAAATATTTTCTTCTCGCAGGCAACATTTGTGCACATTCTTGCCAAATATCTCCACCAGGTGGTCCCAGAATTGGTGGAACGATTAAATCAAAACCATTGCGAAACTGATTTCTATGAAATGTTGATTGCACTATCATTGCTCTCCCAGTATCTATATTACTAAAAATATTCCCAGAATCAGCAGATAAATCTCTCCGTGCAAGATTTAACAATATATGATTTCTACCATCTCCTCCCCAATAGGGAAGTGCATGCAGTTTTTTTATATCTAAAGGCTTGCTATAACGTTGATCACTCTTCTGTTGGGAACTCAATGCTTCACCAACTAAAACTATATAGATACATGCCTCTGCTGGATTTCTAGTAAGATGCGGATTGTAACCTACATATTATAAAACAATTTAGCACAAACATTATCAAATAAAAATATGTTTAATTATTTATTCATACATGTCATTTACCTAATGTTTGTTTAATGGTCGTTTTTAAGAAACCATCTACATCCCATCCTAGACTGACTACTGAGAATTGATCTGGATCATACAAGTATACAGGAAAGCCACTTGTTAATGCACATCGACTATGATCGAAACAATTATACATTTTACACGATCGTGGATCTGTACTAGATAATATAATTGGAGTAGTATTAATCAATATTCTCTTAGGAGGTGCCAATTCTGGCGTATTCCTTTCAACTGCTTCTCTTTGTGCTACTTGTGCTTGTTCCACACTTATTTTTAATCTGTCAAGATCTGTTTGTTGATGCAATAATTCTTGCTTTAATTCATCTATCTTCTGTGTCAAACTATTAACTTCACCTTGAAGTCTTTGCCTTTTACCACCCAGATCTCTCAATTCGTTGCTCACTGAAATTTTTATATGAAACATTTCCTCTATTCGCATCTTCAATTGTGACGCTTTCATAGATGTGAAATCTTCAAAAGCTTCCAGAGTCGAAAACGTTCTATATATATCTCTATCCGGAGCATCAGATTCCACCTAAAAATAAATTCAAAGTTAATATACAAAGCATCGCAGAATCTTGAAAAGATCCTCCCCTTTTTCTTTAACATACTTTGGATAAATAATAATGTGTAAATAATGGCACAATAAATAAAACTATGGCTGTCAAAATTATTATTCTCGACAGCTTGATGTGTGAAAGCCATTGGCATATGTCTCTCTCAGAGTGATGATAAAACGGAAGTGTTTCATAAATATTTCCCGCCATATTTATATTTAACTATTGCATATCTTCATCTATCCAGCTGGACACTTTGACATCTTTGATGTAGATTTCTGCAAATAATAATACACATTTGAGCACACGTTAATACATGTTTAAGCTTAACGAAATAAAACAAGAATTTTATTTTTTATTATATATATATATATATATATATATATATATATATATAATTGCTCACATATCTTTCCATAAAATTTGATTTAAAAAAAAGCAATAATAAAATAATTGCTTATATACCTGCAAAAAATCACTATCAATGTTGATATTGTTGTAACATATCATCATATCATCAATAACCTATAAGATTCAGTCTCTGCCACTTTGTCAACATCGAAACTGATCATGACAATGATTTGATAAATAAACATGATGAACGCGAGACAAATTTTACATTTTGTTCTCGTTTAATCTCAACGAATGACACTTATTATTAGCGAAATCGCATCTCCTTTCTCATCTTATTCGCGATCGCATATCGGAGTCAATTCTAAAAGACGGAGTTCCTCACTCGCACTGTTCCTTCACACATACATTTCTACTGTATATTATTTATTTTTAATAAAATTTATCGTGCCATTAATTTAAATCACGTTCATGAAACGGTGAAAGAGTCACACTATGGCGAATAAAAATAACCATTGTTTCAATTATTTACTTCTGTAGACGAGAGAAGACCGAGAGGTGAGAGGTGTCATAAATAAGAGAGGTTAGGTTAGGTTAGAAAATTTAAAGAAATTTAAGAAAATTATCGTTTGACAGTTAGCATCCCTGCAAAATAGGCTGCGCAGGCACTGCGCGCGCGTATACAAGATAAACTTGAAATCGCTTCTAGCTTAACCACCTTCACGCGATCGACTTTACTTGAATCGCATCGCATCGCATCGAATTATGATGCGGCGCCCATTTGCCCGAACGTAATTTGGGACGTCGCGATGCTGTATAAGCGTCAAATGAGCACGAACTGTCACCTAAATATGAAATAAAATATAAAATCAAATCAACTCACTGTTCACCGGTTGTTCCACAGCCGCTCCATTCGCTCGTCTCGGGACGTCCCATTTCGATCTTGAGGCACACAACTCACACGACATCATCCACGCGAACGCGCGATACTTTATTCGACACTCCCGATACTCCCGATACTCGCTCACGTCCAATAATCATCGTCAAGGGCGCGAATAATGCGACGCGACTTTGCTCTACCTTCGCGATGACGTCATCACCGAATATCGTTGAATACCGTCAAAAACCGCTGTTGCGCGCTTCCAGTAACACACTACGAAAGTCGCGCGATCATCCTTGGACACTTTCAACGCTTGTTCGCTTGCTATATTCGTTTATTTACGGTTAAAAGACGCGAAAAATGCGTACAACTCCGACTCACGACGCAAATGGTGCGAAACTAACATGGCGGCTGAACTGGTGCGAAACTAACATGGCGGCTGAACTGGTGCGCATTCGTTTCTGCGCATGGCCATTCCTGCGCTTGACGTTCGCGCGACTTTGATTTTGGAATATTGTCTGCGGCTTTCATTAATAACACATAATAATAAATATATAAATATATAAATATATAAAGATAGAATAATAAATATATATAATAAATAAGAAATATATAAATAATAAATATATAAATATATAAAGATGGAATCAATTAATCATATTGGTCATATATTAAAGTATATTTGCCTGAAGAAAGAGAGAAAAAAATTGAGAAATATTTTTAGTTTTCTTTAGTAAAGGATGCAAATATCTAATATTTATAATCTTGCTTTTCTTTTCCTCTTTCGCGTGATTTCGATTTAATATATAACGTAGAAAATACATAGTATATTGGATTCATTTTTATATTATATATTCAGCTAATATTAGCGCGGTCATTTTTTTAATACTAACAATACTCATGTACATACACTGTATCTTTTGTTTTTGATGTTTACTTTTAAGAATGTTTTGTATGTACAATCCCAGCAAAAAGTAGCTGAAAATCAATATTGACGAATATATCCACTTTTGAGTGGGACAGAGGGTCACAACTTATTTATAAAATTAAAAATTTATTTATATTTATATGTTATCCTCTGAGAACATTCGTGGACACTGGCTTTGTAGTTCATGTCCGTTTTTAATGTCCACAGAGGGAGTATCGCTTTCAGAGATACTTAAAAGCGAACCATGAACACCTCTTAAATCTTCTCTCTGGCGAACATTTATTTATCGTAGCACGAAATCGATTATCGTCATCGTATCGCTTGACACGCGCACAGCTGTTCGATTCACGAGAATTATATCGTTCTCGATACGAAACTCGAAACTTCGAGAGGTATCTCCCGCAGAATCTTTTTGTCTCCGAATTTATTCTTGTCAGTAAAACGTATATATTTTCTCCGCAAAAATATCTGAATGTCAATGATTTAAAGGAGCGGATGTGCTTAAAAATGTCGAAATATTTTTTGTTGTAAAAAAAGAAGTAATATCGATTAAGTTATAGCTAACATATAAAAAGGAAAGCCAGAAAAAAATTGTTTGGATGTTAATTCAACGTTGAGAAAAAAAAATGGATGAGTAATTTTGCCATATGATTTCGCAATCGCCCCTTTAAATAACCCGCTACATCGTATCATATCATCCTGGTTTGCTACGGTAACGTTTGGTGGCATTCCATGACATATATATATATATATATATATATATATATATAAAATATATATATACATATATATATATATACATATATATGTATGTATATGTACATCTCACTCGATGTATTTGCATTTCTCGAGACCTTCACAGTCATGCGCATGTTCATGTCGAATATAGTGCGAGGGGAATAATATTTTGGCTTTTTCGGGGGCCTAAAATTAGCCGGAAAATGGTAAGCTTTTAAAAAGGCGCAATTGTACGTCAACGAGACAACCCTTTTCATCAAGTTGCCAGTTAATCAAATCCGGCTTTCTCACTGTGATTTCAACCTTCCGTTTTCACGCTACCACAATAACCTCTTGTATACGATGTTAATGATTTTCACATTTTGACTTTCCCTGTTTTCCCCGGCGTCTTTTTAAGAATATGTTGAATTAAAATACTATTTAAGGCAACGTAAAATTATGTCCAAATGTATTTTGATTGTGTCATAGAAATCCTCTCGTTCGTGTGTATATCATCATATTGTATGATGACAGAAAGTGTCGAATTCCTTGAATAAAAATGTAACAGATATTATTTAGAAATGTTTAAATGATAATTATAAAGTTTAGAACTATATGTCATCTTTGTACACATATTACTTTTATAATTGACTAAGTAATGAGCCTAAGTATGATGCTATTTCCTTCAAATTGCAGCATAAATTAAAGTTTTCACAAAGGGACAAAGTGAAAAAATTTATAACATTTACACAAACTGGAGAACAAACTGCAATATATTGTCTGGCCCAAAATGATTGGAAGCTTGATCTGGCAAGCGACAACTATTTTCAAAATCCAGAAGCTTATTATAAAGAACCAAAAAATTCTGTTGACAAGAAGAAATTGGAAATGTTATATAACAAATACCAAGGTAAAATTACAAATATGATTACAAATTTTTATTTCATTATTTATATTCAGTATTATAAAAAATAGCATATAATCAACTATACATTTATAGATCCCAGTGAACCCAATAAAATTACCGCGGATGGTATTATGAAATTTCTGGATGATTTAAATCTCAGTCCTGAGAGTAAATTAGTTTTGATCATTGCGTGGAAATTTCGTGCTGAGACACAATGCGAATTCACTAAAGAGGAGTTTATGAATGGGATGATAGACGTGGGGTAAATATCAATTTTTTTGTTGTCTGTATAACAAAACGTTAAATCTAAATTATAACTTTCATAATTATCTTTTTCAGTGTGGATAGTATAGACAAGTTAAAAGCGCGTTTAGGTAGTTTAGAAAATGAATTAAGGGATCCTCTAAAATTCAAAGATTTCTATCACTTTACATTTAATTATGCGAAGAATACAGGACAGAAAGGTTTAGATTTGGACATGGCCATTGCTTATTGGAATATTGTATTAGATGATAAATTCAAATTTCTTCAATTATGGTGTCAGTTCTTACAGGTAAGTGCATAAGTTTAAATATTATTTTTACATTTATTTTTGGTGCATAAAGAAAAATAGAAAGAGAAAAAGAGTTTAAAATAATAACTGATATCTTTTAGGAACATCATAAAAGATCAATTCCAAAAGATACATGGAACTTACTATTAGACTTTGCACTTATGATCAATTCAGATATGAGTAATTATGATGAAGAGGGTGCTTGGCCTGTATTAATTGATGATTTTGTAGAATGGGCACAACCTCGAGTTCGTCAATCTCTTTAACGTTATTTTCTTTTTCTTTTTTTTTTTTGCAACACTCGTCTAGATCATTCATCATATAAATAATAATTTTATTTGTTCAATCATAAAATGTATATTTTTCAAGTATTTTGTTAAATTTTTTCCAATAATTTAACAATAGTTTGCTTTTTTCCATAAATTATTATGGATAAATTAATGTTCACCATATAAAAATCATACTATATAGCATCTAATATGCATTCTTAATCATGTATAATATATTGCTTTAGTAGATTTTATTTGCTAAGACATATATAAAAAGTGAAATATCTTTTGAGAGAGTGTTTGCTTAAAAAATAATAACGTTATTTACTTATATCATAAATTTAATTTATATGAAACCTCTATATTAATCACATAGAGTACCACAAAATTGTCATATAATTGTAAAATAATCTGATTGTAATTTTTTATTTTTTTTAAAAAGAGAAAATAAGCACATTGCCTTGAAATTGATCATATATTGTACAAAGTAATATGATGTATAAAATGTTCATTTACATATGAAAATATGGTATAAAATTGCTCAATTACCTCTGCCAAATACATACTCATGTATTTGTTGGTACTTGCAAGCAGTTCTTAAAAAGAAAGAAGATATTTAATTTTCAAGCATTTTTTTAAAATAATGTGGTAATTGGAAACAAAATTGCTAGATTAGGCTATGTTCTTGTAGATAGTAATTTCTAGAAATTGCGTTGTTGAAAATTGTTATTAAATAAATTTTATGATACTCTCTATTATACATTATACAATAATGTACATAAAAGCATAAAAAGAAAGAAATCTGTATTTTAGAAACATTATTCTATTTCGGCGTTCTACTTATCTTTTATAATTAATGAAAATTACAGAAAGAGGGAGAGAGACAGAAAAAAAATTATTTTTTGTATTTTACGATTGTATTAGACGATTATTTATTATTGTATTTCTACGACATATAATTGTTCTAGATAAAATAAATTATTTTTTTTATAAATTCAAAAAATAATTCTTAGAATTGTAATACAATATAACATTATACTTTGTAATGATATTCTTTATATAAACAGATTTGATTCTCTTGATAAATTTTATATGTTAGATATTGCTTTTTCATCACAATGTTTTTTTATAAAGCCATATATTTGTTTCCATGATAATAGCTTAGATTTTTACATATACAAATTATATGCAAATTATAGAATCATGATGTAAAAAATTATATATTATCACAGATTGAGAAAAAACTAAGCTGTTAAGAAATCAAAATATTGTAGTGACTCTTATATAATATTACAGAACTACGAAAATGAAACTTTCGAGTAAAATTGTATTATCCACACACGTTTTTGATTATATTTTATAAGCATAATGTGAAATAGATGAGGAAAGCAAATTTTAATGAGATATCAGCGTAAACTAATTAATATGTAGTTGTAACATATCGCCAGAGTTACATTTGTCCAAATGCTAAACTCATTCAACAAAGAATGTATATGGTATATTATTCTATCATTTAAAAAATAATGTTTTTGAAAATAGGTCAGATTACTTTATTAGTTAATAATTTCGGTATTGTGTAAACAATAAAGCGTTTCATCAGCCTTAGGGAAGAAACAGAGAGAAAGTAAATTGTACATAATGTAAATAAATATATCAATCTTAATCTCTACATTCAGTTTGTCTGTTTAAAATTGCTGCTAAATATACACCGTGTATATTACTTATATATATATATATATGTGTGTGTGTGTGTGTGTGTGTGTGTGTGTGTGTGTGTGTGTGTGTGTTTAAATAAAAAATTCTACTAAGTATATACAATTATATTTGGTGTGCATTGTATATGATTACTTATATATTATTTAAGAAAATAACGGTTTTATTTATATTTTTAAGTTTATATGGGTTTATATATATATATATATATATATATATATATATATATATATGATATTGGCAATAAAATAAGGTAATAAAATACCTCAGTATTCAGTTATAAAAATATATAATTATATCTTACAGGATTGTTGACATTCGCATAAAGCCCTATTATTGTGACCACTGCAGTCTGCATTATAAGAATATAAAAGAGCCAATTCATATTTATTAGCTTGTGTATTGTAACAATTCTTTAATACTTCCTGAGTATACCAATTGCATAACAATTCCAATCTATCAATAGTTGTCTGTATCATATATTTTCATAATTATTAATGAACTCTTTATTTATGCTTTATGTTGCTTTAAGTTTTAAGTTGTTCTTTTTCTATGATATATATTTAAAAAATAAACTTTTCTTTTAAAACTATTTCTGCTTACCTGAGCAATGACTAATCCACGATTTGAATTATTAGCAATGATGTGACTGTGCGAATCAAACAATGTTATCTATGGATAAAATTATTCTATATACATATTCAGACATATTTTCTTTCGATTGAATTACTTACTTTATAAGTAATTTCTTGAAATATGAATAATATAGTACGTCCGCATGTGATGAGCAGCATAAATAAAGTATGAGATTTTGGAATTTTATACCATTCATATAGAAATGTATTTATATTTTTGTATAAGCTTGTTCCTATTTCTTCATGAAAGACATTAAATTTCTGCAGCAAAATTATTATACATATTATGTAACAATAAGCGTGAAAGATGTATTTATAAAAATTGCATTCTATTTGCTTAGATAGAAATGAAATGCAGAATCAATAAAAATTTATTTGATTGAATATTATATTAGAATATATATAATTTGTTTTGAGTATTACTGTGTCATACCCATTCTTTTAATATATTTAGGCTTTTGCCCCCATATTTCAAAGCTTCTTCGGTACTCAAATATGGATGTGATATAAGTCTTTCCTTAATGAGCCATGCATGAGTCGCATTACCCTCTATCATTGCTTCTGCTACAATAATATTCAATCTCAGACAGTTCTTTATATCGTGAATCAATAACTGTTCTCTTGATATTCGTGCGGCCACAAGCAAACATATCAGCGTACAAGCTTCGCTTACTAAAGAATTATTTAATATATCAAAAAATAAATATTTAATTTATATGCTTAATAATAAAATATATAATATAAATAACAAAGTAATGTATAATTACTTTCTTGTCCTGGTGGATAACGGCTTTGCGTAAAATCAGGGTGATACCACAACACATCTATTTCATGATTAGAACAGTCTTTTATGTATGTGGGGAAGTGGCAGCTAAATAGTGGTGGTAAAGTCATAATTATCAGAATATTTCTTATGTATTATTCCATACGTTTCCCATTACTTATTAATTTTGTTACCAAATACATTTTTCTTTGTAGATTTTATATTTCCATTTCAAAAATATTTGAAAATTAAAAATATTTGAAAAATATTTGAATATTAAGACATTTTGGATGCCAAAATTTTGTTCAATAATACAGTTTATGTGATTGTATTCTAGGATGAAATAATTGAATGTCAAGAATAGCTGCATTCAATAGATATAAGTTAAGAAATTACCTTGTAGCAATAGAATCGATCAACTTAGAAGAGAACATGATTTAAAGAGAAAATCTGTTTAAATAACCAATATCTAAATAAACACTTAATATTTTTATATTTCTTAAATCACTGCACAATTGACAAGGATAACAGTTTTTTGACAATATAATTTAAATTGTGCCTTTATCCCTAGAAAATATTTCTGTCAGAAGTAATTTTTAAAATATTCAATATTCATTGAATACTCGTATAATAAACATATTTCATTAATTCAATTTTTATGACATTCTTACTCAATTGCCATAACATATGTATTGATTATCAATTATATTGATTATAAATATTTAAAAATATTTTTTTTTAATTTAATAGGTTCTATCATTATAGAAGTATAAAAAATATATTAAATATGAATAATTCTTTAAGTTTATATGTAATAAATGTGTACATCATAAAATATCCTTTTTAATATGTAATTTTCGTTTATATAGAGAACACTTTTTCTTATGTAAGATGAAAAATTTTGAAGTAATTATTTTACAAATAATGAAACTAACAAATAATCTATTCAAAAAATACGTTACTATAATCAATAAAAATTGTATTTCTGAAATAATGTAATGAAATAAATTATATTCTGTAGATATAAATGTAAAAGATATATTTATATATTTACATATAATTTACTGTAAAAGTAAAAATATGATATATATGAAATATATTTAAATAAGATACCACACATTTGCCCATTGATGAGATAAATTAAATAAGACACATTGTGTGATAAAAATGAACACATTTAATAACAAATGTTAGCTAGAAAATCAAATTTCTAAATTAATATAATAATATTTAAGATATATAGTATCTTTTATAAAATGTAATGATAAAAGACAGTGTTTTAAATTGGATACTCACTCCAATTATTAAAAACTCTAATCAATTTTTTTTTAATTTTAAATACTAACAATATAATTTTCGCGAATGAGAGAAAAAACACATTTTACATTGTTATTGCTTATATTTGTTTTTTGTAAATTTTAATAAAATCATTTTTGGTAAAATTATTCCATGAAGTCATATAATTTATTTTGTATGAGTTTAGTATTGTGTGCAATTAGTCTTCTAATGATTAGTTCATTATGAATAAATTTATATTTCTCTCTAAATGTATATTACACCTGACACAAACGACAGCACTGTTATTACAAAGATGCGTTGGAAACGATTTTTATAATTCTTTTCACCTTACCACACACCATAACACATTGGGTTCATAAAATCTGAAAGTAATAAAAGACGATATATTTATTTAATATTACATTTATGATATTACATTTATAATATATTATATACCAAATAATCACAATTAGACTTTTTTCTAAATTAAACAAATGATTGTATATAGATGCTCTAAAGTATATTATATATTAATAGCATATTATATATGAATAATCATATATATGAATAGTACTTACACCGAAGTGATCAAAATCAAAATGATCTATATGTGGCTGGGTAACGTGTTGGTATACTTGTGGTGAGAAGGCGCGACCAATGTTCCCATCCCAGAATCTTTGCAATTTCAATGCACTTTTCATCAATTTCCTTCAATGGTTTCTCTTCATAATAGCGCGTCAATAATTTTAAGTAACGTCCGTAATGATTATTGATGTGTGCATGCCATAAAGATAAAATAATAACCTGGAAAGATGAATAAATCTTTTGTATCATCTTTCACATTATACTTACAGATTAATTAGTATTTATTCAACTAAATATTTTGACTTCACATTCTTGTATGTGTTTTCTAACATATGAATGAATACAAATTTAAAAGATAATTTTAAATACAATAATAAAATTTTATTTTTACCTTATTATCAGTAGGTTCAGCAAATTTCTGTACTTCTTGCCAATGATGCGTAACACTCTCGAGTAAATGTTGAAAGGATCCATCTCCTTCTCCAGTCTTTGTTCCATGTACGTATAATCGTGCTAATGCGCAGCCCTTCTTCACTAATCCTTCGATGAGACTGTTCTTTTGTTTTTCCATGGTTATCTTAATTTTAGCTGCGTCAGGACGTTGATCATTCTTCAGTCCGTAATATGCTAATAACTTATCTTGATCGATATTTGTAATCACAGAGTCAGCAACTGTTACTATTTGATTGGCTAATGCGATACAGTTATCCGAAAGATCATTGTGCGGTACATGTCGCCGTGCTTCAGGAGAATCCAAAGATGTCAACATAGCAGTGTGAACGGGTAAATGATCCGAAAAGATGCCTTTTAATTCTCCGTATAACGAATTGGCATGTTCACCAGGTTCTATAAAGAAAGAACAAAATTTGTCATTATTTTTTGAAAATAGATTTTCAATTAATACGTAACAAATGTTACAAACAGATCATAAATATTTGTATAAATAAATAAATAAATATATATATATATATATATATATATATATATATATATATACAAACATTTATGATCCTTATGTTTGTGTGTATATATATATATACACACACACATACATATATCTATATAACATTAACAGTTTATATTAAAAAAATAAGAAAAGACAAAATTTACAAATAGATTAAATATGCTATTAGCATGGAGTAAAAGAACAAAAACTATAATCATGAATATGTACATTATTTAACATATAAAAATACATAAAAAGGGATAGATGCATGTAACAATTGCAAATACATGCTCTTAGGTACACATGTATCTTTAAGGGAAGATTACAACATAGAAAAGGAAAACAAATTATAATATACATGAATTTCAAATTCAACTCAACTTACTTATAGATGGTGCTATTGGTAGAATATAAACCGGAAAAAAAAGATACAAAATATTTATATAATAATAATACTAATATGAATTGCTCTATAAATGGCTATAATAAATCTATTGTACATCTAAACATCTTTAAGTATATAAATACTAAATTACCAAATTTTGCAAGGTAATTGCACTTTAGATCTCTTAATGCTTCTTGATATTCATCCCATTTTGTAGTTTTTTCCTTCTCTGTTTTAGTAGCAGGACTGCTATTTTTCTTGGCAGGTTCAGATATGATGTATTTGAATGTATGGCTATCCACCTTCTTTCCAATTTCATCTTTAGAGAAAGTCAATGTACCTTGAAGATAACTACCAGGGGTAGCATATTTCGATACTCTTTGCAAAAAAAAAAGAAAAATATTTATTAAAATATATGGTTTCAGTAAATTGAAACTACATATTTTAATAGTAAATATTGCAGCTTCCTTATTTCTTTTTTTTCCAATCTGCATTACATGCTGAAGCCAAATAGAAAAGAAAAGTTAATCTAACATAAACATAAAAAGAATGCAACAGTAGTTATAATATGCGATAGAATATTATATTCCTGCAGAGAAATAATACATTTTTTCATTCATATGACATATACACTAATGTACACATTACAATCCAAAAGCAAAGCATAAAAAAGTTAAATAATTTATTATAGAATAAAATATTCGAATAATTAAATGATGAAACTTGGAAACATCTATGGAAATATACAGATGAGAATATCTATAAAGAAAATTCTAAAATTTATGAACGGTATGTGTCGAGAGTTTTAATTGAAAGTAGCAGTAAAAGTAAGAGCATATATTATTAAGTAATATATAGGTAAATTTCTTTTATAAAATTTTATCTATGTGTATTTTTTGTTTAGATATGTAGTGTAGATGGTAAAAATGTATGTATTTGCTTAATACTTAAAAAATAAAAAAATAGAAAAAAAATTAAAATTAAATAATTATTTTTCTATATTCCTAGAAATACCTCATTGTCTGGCATTAAGCAACATTTTGATATTGTATCTTGCATACAATATCTTGATTAAAGACAGATTAAAGACATTATCAGCATGCATTTAAAAATGTGTCGCAGCGTATAAATGAACAGTGAGTGTTTTCATATTTATTTAAAGCAATTTCACAAATGCAAAATGTATATAAAAATTGTATTATAGACTCACTTGTTTTCAGTGCTGCAATGTAAGATAAAAAAAGAAAATTATCTTAATAGCACTTTAGCAGCAAATAATGTATATATATTATTACATTTCAGATGTACTTCTCTACCAAATTAATTTCACAAAATTTACATATGTTCTTTAAACGATCTGACATCTATATTTTCTTTGAAGAAACTTATATTTTTAATATTTGATAATTGATTTTACAGTTCGTAATAACTTTATTTTATTTCTATAATCTTATATATATGTATATCTTATATATATGTCTTATATATATGATTATAGAAATAAAATAAAATAAAATTTTTAAATTTATTAGAAATTAAACTTAAAAAAAAAATTAATAATAATATAAAACATTTTATTTTTTAATTTAAGCAAACTTTCATAACATTTAAATTTTAGTTTTGCTCAATTATTTAATGTTGAATTGAAGATATTTAATCTTAAAAATTAAAAAGTTATATAAAGATGACTTCCCTGATCAAAGCTTTATTAAAAAGAAAACTAGATTCCAGATTAGTTAAAGGAAATGCATATAGTAAATTTTGCGATATCAATAGAGACGTCTTGTATATAATTTTATGTAAAATATATGATAAAAAATTTAATTAAAAATTTAATTATTTAAACATTTTTAGATCGACACTCCAAGAAAAACAAAATTCTAACTATACAAATCAAACAATACTTTACATTCAATCAAAGCACTACTACCATAATACAATATTAGCATTAAACTCATATAAAGTATTATCAAAACTATTTTTATATACAAAAAACATGTAATTTTGCTTATATCTTAAGTATACAAGTTGTGAGTGTATGTGAAATATGTAACAAAATAATTATTTAAACAACAGATCAATAAATGATATATTCTTAATATGTATTGTGTATTTTAATGTATGTAATATGAATTATATAACATGGATACACTATATGTGTGCAACTCAAAAAGTGAAAGAAATAAAAATATAATTTAAATTAAATTAAAAACTTAATTAAATTAAGTTAAAATTTGGAAAAATAATAAATAAAAAACCTTAAAATATTTTCTTTATAAATGATTTTATATGTCAAAGGTTTGAGTTTTTTTATATAAACAATTAATATTCGTGTATATATTTATTATTATAGCTAAAAGAGAATATATATTTGAGAAATATTAAATTACTTAAATTTTTACTAAATTTTATATCAAAATATTATGAAGAAAAAAGAAGTTGCATATCTAGATATCTAGATATCTAGATATATATTTCATATGCAGATACTTACTTGCTCTCATTGGATAGTGGAGCAATATATAAAGGTAGAATATGACCAAGTGGAATAAATGCAGCAACCATCTTTTTTCCACCAATAATAGCTTGTGATTGATTAGCATAAATGTCCAAATTAATTGGTGTACTAAGCTTTTGACTTAGAAGTAATGGCATATCTGTTAATCTTTCCAATAAATCTTTTTTTTCATGGCGTATATGCATTTTTAAAGTATAATCTCCTTTTTCTAGTTTTTGGATTGTATACTGTAACAAATTAATATTATTTTCGTATGTTTAATGGAATTGTAGACGATCACATTCCATGTATACATATATTAATTATGTTTCTAAAAAAAAGATTAATATACAATTGTACAGCGATGAGTTAAATATAATATTTATCATTATTTTTAAAGATTTTAAAATTTGAATTAAAATACTCACTTTAGATGGATACGCATCCCCGCAATTTATTAGTTGTTTATTGCTGTCATAAATCATCCACATTTGACTCTCATATTCATTCTCATACAACAAATCACTTAGCAATGCAGCGTTTGGTGTGACTTCAGTTGCTTTTGCCGAGTGGAATGTGTATGCTAGTTGTAATTCGTATATTTGTCGCGATGGTGGGATAATATCACGCGCTCGTAGGGGAACAATTTTCGATTCATTAGGCCTATATAATGGTCAAATGTATATTGTAATTATGAGTATAAAAATAATTAAAGTCATGAAAATATATAAGTTTGAAATAAAACATACTTTAAGACCTGCACAGATGTTTTCAAAGAAATGTTAGGTACAACTTCTTCATTTCTAAGAGAACTACGTAATTCAAGGCGATTTATTCCATCTCCGGATAACATCGTAAGATTACCGTTTATCATATGAATTCCATGAAATTCTATGGAATAATCGATAAGCATATCGCCTAAATTTGCCCAATATTTTGCGATAACTACTTCTAAAATTAATCCACTCTAAAGAAAAAAAATAAACATCATAAATATATAAATTAAAAAATTTTATAATAGTAAACTAGTTTTTTATAATTAAAATTACATATTTACAATGAATTCACATATATCTTTAATAAAATTTGTTTATACCTGAACAGCAAATGGTTGAATCGTTTCTGATTGAGATGTAACACTGATTATTTTGTTAACTTCAAGGGTTTTGCAGGCCATGCGAGGTTTTAATTGAATAGTATGAAGCACAAATCTACCAGTTTTATCCTTTTCTGCACTTTTTAATCTAAGAACTAAGCAAATAAAGTATAATATAAATAACTATTAATATAATATAAATAATAATTATTAATATAATATTTTTATATATTTATATTATTATATCTAAATTGTATTATATATAATGGATATGGTTATATAAATGTATCTTTTCATTTCTTACCTGCCCAAGTAGCATCCTCTGGAACAAGAATAAAATGACGCTGAATTGTGTTTGGTTTGAATAAAACATTCGTATATGTTAAGTCGGGGAGAAGCACAGTCTTTGATAACGTCATTGGTTGGACGACAGTCACCGGAATTTGGAATACTGGTCCTTTAGCGATATTAGAAACGTCATATGCTCGTACACTAAAAATATTTACAAATTCAAATTGTTTCACAACACGTTATTTAAGAATAATAGCGATATAAAATATATCATTTACCTAGTAGCATGAACACCTTCTGGCAAATTGGATGCCTCGACTCTAATAGCGAAGGAACGAGGCATATGCATTAAATCCAGATGTGTTGGAAATTGGACCCATGAAGCATCGCATACAAGCGTCAACTTCAAGTTGAAATTAATTTTGCGCGATGGTTCTGCAAAACGACAGATAAAATATCATTCTATAACTCTGATTCTGAAAATGTTTGATATTAAACTCATAAAAAAAAGAAAAGCTAGAATATTATTTTATGAAATGTTACCTATAACTTCACTATTTATGAATACTGGTTCTACTGTAATTGCATAATCCTTTGGACGATCAATAACACCTGTTCTCATATGAATGCCTTTAGAATTATTAACTCCACAATTAATAGTAAATCGAATGTCCCTTTCAGGGGCATCGCTGTACGAGACAAGATTATCGAACGCGCGTTCGACTTGTAACAGGCCAGAACCTTGTGCGAATTGATCTAAATTGGATATGTAAAGAGCGGTATTTTCAAGAGCTCTTTTTATACTGTAAGGAGAATACGGACAACCTTTGGCAAGAAGACCTGATATAAGGATCGCTAAAAAAAAGAAATATATTAGAATATTTTTATGAGTCTATTTTAATATTAATTAGAAAAGAAATCTCAATACGTACCAACAGCACCGGTTACATGCGGGCTTGCCATACTTGTGCCATTCATAAGTTGACTTTTCCTAAGCGTAAAGTTTGGGACGCTGGTGATAGCACCTCCTGGCGCGCATACTGTTACACCGGCACCTCCATCTATCATAGGGCCGCGGGATGACCAAGTATATGGCATGCCTGGCATCTTTTCTCTTAAAGAATATTCAGCTACCATCATATCAGGTGATACGTAAGCACCAACACTAATAATACTGTTTGAACTGATGTCTGGCGGAGTTCCTATATATTTTTTTAGAAGTATTTGGATACACATGAAGATATCAAGAAACACATTGCACATTAAAGAAATTAATTCTGTACAAATATATTTCGTATTTGTAATACAAATCACATCAGGTAAAATTGATTATAAAAATCAAAAATACGAAAAGTTAATTGTACAGAATTCTGTGTATATTTACCAATTGTACACAAAGCTGGTCCAAGATTGCCAGCAGATGCAACCCATACTACGCCATATTCGTCAATAACTTCATTCATCAGTTCTCCTATTCTACCAGTATTTGACCAATGAGCATGTTCTCCATAACTCATGTTTATAACATGAATCTTTTCTTTTCTCTTCATTACATGAATCATTGCCCGTACTACAGCGGTTCCAGTTTCCATTGTGCCGATACGTCCATCACCGACAGTCAATGACACAATTTGGGCTCCTGGTGCCACTCCATTTAACTCTGAATTGTCAGGAAAATATGCAGCCGCGATTGATGCTACATGTGTTCCATGACTTGCTGTAATAAGATTCAATCAAGAGAAATTCTATAGAAAAATTCGCACTAAATATTACAATATTTCAACACAATTTCTTCTGTTATACTTACAACATAAGCTGACAATTTCCAATGTATTTCCTTCATCATGGACATTAATACTAACGTTTAATTGGTCTTCTTGAGTAAGAGGAGCAAAATCTCTTGTAATAGAATATTCACCAAGAAAAACGCCATTTTCCAGATTACCTTCTTCGGATATGTCGATACATGCTCTATGAAAAAAATGACATTAAATTAAACGAAAAAATATAACATAAATAACTTACATTTTAAATAGGTACATACATATATATTTAGCATAATAGTATACTTGTAAGATGATTACCTCCAAATGTTACCATCATGAAAAACAACACAATCATAAGTAGGTCCTACATCGCAATATTTTTTTTCAATATTATTCAATATTTCAACTCTAGCTTCAAGTTCTTCTTTTTGTAATTTTTCTTCCAAAGTCGACAACTGTGGATTCTTGCTTTCAAATTCCTGTGCATTATTATAAAGTGGAATAATATTAGTTATAGTGAAATAATATCATTAATTGTTCATAAATTGGCTATTTTGAAATAAATTAAATATAATTAAATACAAAACTTTTAAATATTCTTATATATTTTAATATTTTCTCTGCGTAATTGTATATCTACACTCTTTTGTATTTTTAAAAATCAATAATTTTAAATTACATATTGACATAAAAATTTACCAAATTAATAAGAGTGATACAATATTAATGTAATGACTTTTCTTAAGTGAATATTATATAATGGAATCAATGCCTTTACAATAGATCAATCTGCCAAATACAAATATAGCATTAGATACGGATCACTGTGACATATTGTGAAATAGCGGCCTCATTTAATTGCATGAACTGACATGCTCACAACACTCCTATCTTTGGATCACATGAACTAAAACTCTAATTATAATGTATCCATACATATTTTCATTGATTTCCAGTAATTATTGTAATGTTCACATTAAGTAAGATTATAAAAAAATAGTATTATATTTATATTGCAACGAAAACTCTAAAAGATTTTAATAAATTTATTTTAAGATGTCAGAAAAAAATGAGATAAATAATTTTTTAATTTAAGGCAAATTATTAATATCTTACATATAGAAAGTTTTATTATTATATTCATCATACTTGTAATTGCCTCGAAGCTTCTGCAAGTGCTGTCTTATGACCATCATCCCAAAGACGCTTCTTACGTTCTGCTACTACTCTTTCCTTTAATTTATTGGGATATAATGAATATAAATTTTTTAAACCAATATGATATTCTCCAGTGGGATTAGTCCAATTAGATGGAACCTAAGTGAACATAAAAGATTCAAATGTAAAATTACATTAAAAATGAAAACGTATGCATTGCATATAATTTATTTTTTTTTTTTTATATAAAAGAGACATATTCTCATATTAATTATAACATATAAAATTATACACTTATTCTAATAACTTTACTTTCAAATAAATAAGAATATACATAATTGTTATTTATATATAAGCAGCATTAAATTATAAATTAATTATTTACTATGTAACCAACGATCATTAAAAACAGAGAATATGCAAAACTTTCACTTATGATATCTTATTTATATCTCTTAATGTGCAGTAGAATATTTCACAAACCTACTTTTAATTTACGACCAGTCAAGCCAATTATATATCCATCTGGTGCTTGAACAACTTTGCTAGTATCTACATCTCCTGCTCCACTACAGTCAAATCTTTCAATAATTTTTGGTTTCCCATCTGAAGTCATCTAAAATACAAATTATATTTACAAATAATAATAATTATTCTTTACACACACACACACATACACACACACACACACACACACACACACACACACACACACATATGTTTATTTATTTATTTATTTATAAGTTTTTTGTAAAATCAATTTCTTTACAAAAAGACTTTTTATAAAATACTTAGGAAAATTGAATTATTATACAAACCAACTTTTTATAAAAAGTTTAAACTTATTATAATTTATCAAAGCTTGCAATATATATACAAGACATTAAAAAAAGAATTTAGGATTTTAGGGCAGATAGTACTAAATTGAATTAAAAAAATAGCTTAATAAAACTGAATATAAAGAAGCCAAAAATCAAACTCATCAGGAATAATTTTTTATACATTTTAATGTAAATCTTTCTTTCAGCATCTTATATTTATCAAAGATAATTAAAATCATACATGTATGTATATTTAAGAAGCTTTATATCATAATAAATTTAACATTGCTATATAAGAATATAAGAAAATATATGTAATAAATGTAATAATATAACTTTGCAGAATTTTTTGCTGAACAAGGAATACTATATGAGATGACATTACTATATAAAATGACTCTACGTAAAATGACATTATAATGTAATACAAGAATAGCTGCAAAATTGTAATGTAACAAACTTATAAATGTTGTTAAAAGTTTGAAGATAAAATTAGCATAAAGAATAAGATGCGATTATTGACATTCATGAGAAAATTTTCTCTCGATACACTAAAAGTGTGATAAAAAGAAATCATATCTAAGGAAAATAAATAGCGTGACTTTTATCTCTCAAGGAGACGGTTCACAAGATACACAAAAAGCACTTCAAATAATCGTGAAAGATGTACGAGGAAGATGAATTATTTGTCAATAGGAGATAGATTATTTTTGCAAAATGTCACATATTGAAAATAAGAGGACAGTCCAAGAAGAATATTAATATCAATAATAAGAATGTAACTCCTTGTGTGTCAAGTTTTTTGCATGGAAAGGCGTGTCATACACAATAACCAAGTGCAGCTGGATATCCATTCCCGTGCTCACCTGCATACCCGGGGCCCCGGGGTCCACCCCCGAGTCAAAGATCGCGATGACGACGCCCCGACCATCGTACTCGGGGTACTTGGTGAGAAATTGAGTGACACCTGTCTCTTTCTTAGGCAGCAGGCCCCAAACAGGAAAGTTACAATCAATGACGCCTGCCATATTTCGAATGCCACCGTGACTGTCGGAAAAACCACACTTGGGATGTTTCCTTTGTACTGTGCCACGGCTTTATATATCAATCAAAAAACGGGGTCTGCGCCTGCGTGCGCTCCGAATGCGTCAGATTTTCAGGTTAGATTACCGATGAACTGTACAACCTCATTTTCGCCACGTCGTTCAACGGAACGCCCACAGATGGCATCACTCGTATACCTACGTCATGACGTCAATAATCACGTACACGGGCGCACATACACGGATACGATATACACGATTGACAGGCATAGGTTAGATTTAGATGCAGTCGGAGCGATCGAACGTGCGATTAGTCGGTGTTAGTGCGTGTCGTAGAGGTTATGTTTCTCTCTCTCGCCTCTCCCGTATGTATACATATTTTGAATAAGCGGACGAACCAAACTGGCTCGATTGTACCCGATATTTTTCGTATAAGATCCGCGGAAAGAATGCGTTGCTTGTCCGATAAGTCTCGGCGAGAGTGACGTAAGCGTGTGACCCGAGTGTGACGAGTCATGTGTGTAAATTTAAAGCATGGTTATCACGCAACGAAGGATGAAGCAGATTGCGATCTTCGCAGTTTGCGTATTCTTGTTGGGTAAGTGATTTGAAGATTATGACATTTGTATCGTGACAGTAGATCCTCGATCCGGGATTCGGCAAATCGACCTGCCTTTCGAGCACAAGCTGTCTGTTTACAGTCTTTATAGAGTCAAAAACGCAGTGTGTAACAAATAAATGAAATATGCGATTTAGCGAATTTAGCTAATTTTCTCGGTTTTATTATCTGACATTAATCTTACTGCGGATTTCCGTTCTACTTGAATTTGTGATGTCACGATCTTTTAAATTTGATAGCTTTCTCTTTCTCTCTCCCTCTCCTTTTCTCGTTACTTTGATCTCGTGTCATTCGTGCAACGCAGCCGTTTTCAAAGCTATTTTATGCCAATTGTTACGTTTATATAACAATAATTATGTTGCCAATTGTTACGTTTATGTAACAATAATTATGTTGTTTTATCTATATATGACTTATCTATAGATATATTAATGTATACTATTAGAGAAATAGCAGAATATCTTGACACAAACTTCTATTTTTTAAATTTAAATTTTATCTTTGAATATTGAAAATATATTTCTCAAGTATATTTTATTAAATAAGTATAGGATATTAAGCAAAAATTATTGAGAGGAAAAAAAATAGAAGTATATAAAAAAACAGATAAGTGTTTTATAAATCGAATCATTCTCATAATTAATCTGTCATAATTAATCTGTAATGTCACGATATTATCGAGACATATCATTTATCATTTATTTTTATCGAATTAAGAAAAAGTTCAATAATACAACTCTTGACTCTTCTCTCTCTCTTTTTATTATAAAAATAAATGAAATGCTTCATTATTCTTTATTTCTTAATATTGAGAAATGTTGTTTCAATTCTTTCAATATTTAATACACAAGTATTATTAAGCACATATGAAAAAATTTTTCCTTCTCAAAATTTTTATCGTCTTCCATAAAACAATAATGTCAACAATAGTCGACAATAATTTTTAACTTATTCACAACGAAAGAGCTTTTCAAAGCGCGTATATACAATATAATTTACGTAACGGCCATTGTTAATTGTTTCCGTTGAGAATCACTGAATCTACTGACAATGAGCATGAGATTGAAAATACGACAGTCATAGAAGAGTGGAAAAGTTTTTGAGTATTATTTGTTTTATCTTAAGTAAACTATCATTAAATAAATTAAAAAATAATCAGATAAATAGAAAAAAAATAATGCTAAACATTGCAAGAACTAAGAAATTTAACATTTTATTAATCTGAAAATTCTGAGACTTAATAATAAGTATTTATATATAATTGTAAAACAATTTGATAAATAATATGAATTCTTCATGTGCGCGTAAAGCGAATTTTTTCAGTAAGCCAATTGATAAGATACGAAATGTCAACGAGATATATTTACTTAATTATATTCATCAAGGAGAAAACAGTTGCTTCTTTAGAATTATAAATAATTGTTTTATATTAAATTACTTAATTGTATTTTATCGTGAAACATTTAATTAAAAGAACTAAAATATCCTCTCAATATTGTTTTTCTCTCGCTTTTTTTCTCGCAGTATTAGGCTTTTATAAGACTCTCGTGACTACAGAAGAGGAAGGATTTTTCGGTCGCAGTCGACATCGCGGCATAATTACCGAGGATAAGATTAATTTAGGCGATAGAAACGACATCGTCGAAGACGCAAAAATTCGCAGTGTCGAAGAGGAGTCATCCGATGGAGACATCAAGAACATCGAGGAGGCGAGGATTCGCATTCGCGAGCTGGAGGGCAAGCTGCAACATCTCGAGGCGGCGATCAAAAACGGAGTAGCGAAGGATTTTCCGACGGTCAAGTTTTTGAATTACAAGAACCGGAAGCGAATACTGGTGACGGGTGGCGCGGGTTTCGTCGGCTCTCACCTGGTCGATCGTCTGATGCTTGCCGGCCACGAAGTTATAGTCGTCGACAACTTCTTCACCGGCAGAAAGCGAAATGTCGAGCACTGGATCGGTCACGAGAATTTCGAATTGGTGCATCATGATATCGTGAGGCCTCTGTACCTGGAGGTCGACGAGATATATCATCTCGCTAGTCCGGCCAGTCCACCGCATTATATGTTAAATCCCGTGAAAACGATCAAGACGAACACTTTGGGTACTATAAATATGTTGGGTGAGACTTTATAGTAAATAGAAAGAATAAATATAACAGATAATATTATGTAACTTATCGATGATATTTTAGGACTCGCGAAACGAGTCGGCGCGCGAGTATTAATTGCGAGCACGTCGGAGGTATACGGAGATCCTAATGAACATCCACAGGCAGAAACCTACTGGGGTCATGTAAATCCTATCGGTAAGATTGATTTTATTTTTTATATTATTTATACTTGAACAATTAATGAATTCCGGATGCATATGTAGGTCCACGAGCATGTTATGATGAAGGAAAACGAGTTGCCGAGACATTGAGTTACGCTTATATGAGACAGGAAGGTGTTTCGGTCCGAGTAGCACGAATTTTTAATACCTTCGGTCCCAGAATGCACATGAATGACGGTCGCGTCGTATCAAATTTTATTCTTCAAGCTTTACAAAATAATTCAATTACAATTTATGGCAGTGGAAAACAGACGCGATCGTTTCAATATGTCTCCGATTTGGTAGACGGATTGGTAGCATTAATGGCATCTAATTATACCTTGCCTGTAAATATTGGAAATCCCGTGGAACATACAATTGAAAGTAAGAGTTGCTTGTTATAATTTTTCCAAATCTTTGCGATGTTTGTCTAAAATTTAACATTTTAACTTGTTTCAGAATTTGCGCGTATAATAAAAAATTTGGTGGGTGCTACTAGTAAGATAATTGAACTCGCAGCAGTCGAAGATGATCCACAGAGAAGAAGACCAGATATCAGTAGAGCCAAAAAATATTTGAATTGGGAACCAAAGGTTCCTTTAGCTGAAGGCCTGAAGAAAACTATAGTATACTTCGCTAAAGAATTAAAGAGAACAAAACATTCTCAAAAAACCAGTTTTAAACAGTCTTCTTATAAAAACGATCACGATATAGTAGAACAACTTTAGAGGATTAAGTGGTAACGATACGATTAATGTATCCACTTTCAAAAGTGGCGTGAAAGTGCCATTAAGCTATGGACCAGTATGTGCCAAAAAATCCCCGTCCAATTAAATTTTACATAATTTATATAGCAAACGATATACAATTATACGCTCATATTAATCAGCCTCTTAAATTTCTTCCTAATAAATATATGTCGTGTACCTTGTAATAATAATTTAAAATTAATTTTTAATTTTTATCCATGACTATGTACATATAATTTTAATGATTTCATTTCAATATATATTTTAAAATAAAGTAATATTTTAAGTATATATTTTAAAATAAAGTAATATTTTAAGTATATATTTTAAAATAAAGTACGTAAATAATTTATATATCGACATAATAATACACGTTTTATATATTTAAATATATCTTAAAATATACTTTTTACTATATTTATTTCTTTTATTATTGTAATAAAGTATTATCTCAATGCATAGATTCTTAGAATGTTTAGATTGATAGGAAATATTTTTTATTCTTTAATGCGTAGAATCTGCACGCTCGTGTAAGTTTCTCAAGTAAAACTCTGAAGATGATACTAGTGATATAAAATAATGTTTCCTTTTTTTAATAATAATATATTATAATCTTTAATATAAACAAATTTGCCTAACTCTTTCACGTAAATATATTTGCACATAGTTATCCAATGTTGTGTCTGCTATTATTTTCTGTAGTGTAAATAATTGTTATTAAAGATATGTATTTGCAATATAAAATTTCAAGAAACATTTATATAAGTTACTTAAATATATAGAGTAATAATGAAAGTTTTGTCAAGACTCTTGTGTACAATGCCATCGAAGTGGATGATAAAGCCGATAAAAAGTAACATATATTTATATTAGAACTGTATACTATATGATATTAATATTTAGTGCGATCATAAACTCTGTAAGACTGTAATAACAATGTGTAAACAAGAAAGTAATTTTATATTTTATACATATTTAAAGTAGGAAGAGGAAAATATTATTATCAGAGAAAGGAATCTCTTTATATAACGATAATATATTCTGTATGCAACATAACTCTTGTATAATGATGTAATTAATTTCTCTATATTATCATTATATAGAAAATGATAAAATGTCATTTTATCATAGCGAATTTTTTTCGTACAAAGTAGGAATAACATGTTGTAATTTCTTATATAGGAATATAAAAGAAAAAAATTAATGTAAATAAATAGCTGTTTATAAAGTGTAAAATAGAGTTTATCTTTTGTGATCAAAATTATTCTCGAATTTCGATATCGGTCATTAAATATATTAGATATTTTTTTAATAACATCTCTTTGGAATATTAATTAGCATATCAATTATTTTTAATAATTATTATTTTTAATAAATACTCTAAAAAGATAATATAATGATTAATTCTAAAGAAATAATATATCATTTTTTTTTAATAACATCTCTTTGGAATATTAATTGATATATCGATTATTCTTAATAATTACTATTTTTAATAAATATTCTAAAAAAATAATATAATGATTAATTTTGAAAAGAGATAATATAATATAATAAATATTATAATATTTGCGACATGATTTATGTGTCCGAAAAAAAAGATCGATGACATTATTCATATTGCGAGCAAAATTTTTTTTGAATCAGTGTATATTCTGTACTTTATTATTGTTATTCTTTTTTTTCAGGAGAAAGGCAGCGTATTCTTCCTTCGAGAATAACGTAAATCTCGATAGATTCTCTCATACTTATCGAAACTGGATTTTACATTTACAACGCTATTGCGTAATACGAGGTAAAGTAAATTGATTCTTTTCTATTATCTTTCCTTTTCATTCCTTATGTGAGCTTTCATGAGTTAATCAATAAATATCTCATACAAAAAGATTATATATATAAGTATATTATATTATATTATATAAGAAATATTAGAAAACAATGAGATTATTTTAAAAAAAACATGCTATTAGTATTCTGAATTATAATGTTTTGTAATCAAACATAATTGCAACTCCGATTAATCAAATTGTTATTGACATGAAATGCCTATCATTAATCTACAATAATGTCTTGCGATGCACTCAATTTCCTTTTATCGAAAAAGAACTAGATTATTTTTCGGCTACTGATTGCTTAAAGACGCGCTAAAGGACTTTATTCGAAAGCACGTTATTCTGCATGCCATTCCATATTAATTTCTGTCGATTAACTTTTGAATGACACGACACGAGAATGGCAGCAATGTAACAGCATGAATTAAAACCGCGATATTAAAATGTCTACACTTTCCAACCGCATGGCTACGATATATATAATATGTCATGCCATAATTAAATACAGTTTACAATATCCAGACATTAATTGATTTTGCGAAAGCACACACAGATATATATGACAGCATTCCTCGAACTCTCTTCATCATCGCAATTTCTTTCCCGCGTTTCTTTCTTGTTGGTATATTTTTACAGTATATATTTAACATTAAATGCGATCTGTGATAAAATGCGATAGATCACCCGGCGAAATTCGCTCTTGATCAAATAAGATGAAATTTCGACGAAATTTTTCCTTCGCGTCTTCAAAATTCAGAGAAAATGAATTCTATGATATGAGGAACGTACAGGAATGTACGTGATCCAAAATCTCTTTTTATTCATTCATTCGAGAAACAACGATGACACTAATATGTGACGCGATGACACCAACAGTCACCAATGTCGCGTTGGCTTGCAATTTTTTGGACGTCGTTTTTCTGTGAAACTTGAAACTAGAAATTTGCCATGACGGGAATAGATGCGGGAGCTTATTTTGAGAATATTCGCACTTAATGTACGTTAGATCTGATGGATGAATCGGTCGAGATAAATAATCATCGACGGTATTAAATATGTAGTTAAATACATATATTTTCCCTCATTCAAAAATTATAATTTTAAAAAGATTACTGAAATAATTAAATATATAATTAAATATATATGATAAGATTTCATTCATAGCTATCATTCACCACATTTACTCTATTACTGTTGATCAAAATTTCGTTGTGTATCGAGTATAACAAACAAGATCTCAGCACGAGACTGAGGCCTATTGTTCCACTTCAATATTTTCGATTAGAAAAAAAATTTATTTTTGATCCACCTAGAATATGAAAATAAATATGACCGAGAAACGATCCAACACGACCATTGCATAGATTATATCTCTAGTTATACTACACTAGTTTTCGTACACTAGATGGAGTCAGAAAGGAATTATTTCTCGTAAACGAAAACCTACTTAATACATTATAATATATCAGAGACGACTTACATCAGTATAATTAAGTTAGATTTAATTTAGATGTAATTTAGATTTAATTTAGATGTAAGTTAGATTTATGTAATAATAAAGCCGTCTCCATCAAATTGAGAACATAAATTTTTAGAAAAACTAAAAATTTTTTGAAAAAGTGGGGACTTGCACTTGGGCCTCACCATAGAAATAAAGAAAAACATAAATTGTAGAGCGCATAAACAAAGATGGTTAAACTAGTTGAATACATTCAAAAACTTTATTTCTTATGCAATCGCTTTTAATGATGGGACTGAAACAAAATTTATTCATTTTAATTCGTGTATTAGAATTAGTAAATAATTGATCACATATTTATTTTATGAGAAATAATTTATATTTAACTACATCTCTAGTGTATAAAAATTGATGACCAGCATTATGTGTGTGTGTGTGTGTGTGTGTGTGTGTGTGTATATATATATATATATATATATATATATATATATATATATATATCGTCACATTGTATTGTATTTAAATTCTTAGAGTAATCTATGACAATCGATCGAAAGTGCTTAATGTAAACTGTGTACATTTTCCCTCATTTTAAAATTCTAATTCTTTAAAAAGGTTGCCAAAATGAATTATGATGTTTCATAGCCATCATTCACCGTATAATCTATTTTATAATAATTTATGCAATCAACGTTTCATCGTATCTTAATGTACGAGATCTCGAGGGACTGAAACACGTTGCTTTTATCTTCTCGTTGCGAATTTTTGCGACATATAAATTCTTTTTTTTCATTACGGTGGAAACACAGGTGAGTATAATAATACCTGTTTTGTAGACGCACAATGACACAGCAGGACCATTAGAAGGACGCGTTTTCACCATGCTCTTGATGTGATGTGTAAGGGACTTCATTACTCAAAAAGTCAAAAATATAAATCGAATAATTTAATGCCTAACTTATTGAAACATTATTTTTCTGAAATAAAGTAAATTTATAAATTGCATCTTAAAATTATATTATTATTCTTGTTAAATAATATCACATGTAAGATTATTTCAATAAGAATGACTTCTTTTGATTTATTTGCTTGAACATTGTTATCAAGAAAAATGAATATTTATCCCATTTTATCCCCCCAAATTACATTTCGTTCTATATATATATATATATATTGTATATATATATATATATATCACGAAAATAGATTTTATAAAATATATATATTTATTTCCATAAATAATATAGTGGTACGGGTATGTATTCAATATATACCTGCGTTCCTAATTACGTCAAGTTTTATTATATATTAGTTATATTAGTTTTATTTATATCAGTATTCTTATATATAATATTAATTATTATTATATAATATTAATTATTAGATAAAGTTTCATTTTATGTGATAAATCTATTCGATAGCATAATTTTCGCTGGTTTTATGCAACATATTCTGTAAGTTATTTTCAGTGGCTGCATGAAAAACGATAATTTACGGAAAGTTTAGAGACGAATACGTTGCTGATCGACCAACCAATAATTCCGCTTAAATATACGAAACAAAGTATCAGTTTGTAGGTCTTTTGTAGACCCGGGTCAAACGTTGCAGTCTGGAAAGGAAAGACCTGCGTTCGAATCCCATGTCTTCGGTCGGCATTTGTCATAAGTTCGATTAATATGTTTGAATTTCATTAGTTATTGGGAGGCTCTTGTGCAAGTCCTCCCCTATTTTAAAAATTGAGCAGTGTGAAGAGTGCCGGGAAAGTGACCCCTACACTGCTGTCTTTCTTATAAAAATAGATAATGTCTATGTGGTATATTGTATATTTTAATATCACATGCGGTAAATGCTATTTTTTTATTATTTATATTAATTTTGTTCCCGGTGCTGAATGCTATACATCTCTTTT